CCAGCCCCTGGAAGACCTGGCTGGCTCCAAAGAACTGATCCCAGCACCAGGCCCCACAGAGGGACTGCAACATGATGCTCAGAGTCGAAAGAGCACTCCAGAGCGAACAGCTGAAAGAGCCAAGCCTCTGCTGAGGAGCTCGAGAGTCCTTAGGGCCCCTAAAGGAAAGCCAGTGGGAGACCGAGAGGGCAAAGGACACCCGACAGCACCGCRAAGCAGAAGCAACATGTCCCTGCCCACGGGTCAATCTGGAGCAGATGGACTTCTCGCAGGAGTCGGGGCGCCGTGCTCAGAGACTGGGCTGCAGGATACGGTGCAGGCCAAGGCAGTCCACGGGAAAAAGAGGGCCGCTCCCAGGAAGAGAGGCAGATCTCCTGAGCCCCTGATAATCAATAAGGATCTAAAAATTTTAATAAACAGAATTGAACCCGTGGAAGATCACAACTCCAGCAGGGAAGCGGGAAAGAGGAAACTCAAAGTGGAAGACTCGGCGCCTGCGGATAAGGTGATGGCAGTGCTAAGTACTCCCCGGGTCGTCTGGGGCCAGCTCCTTCTTGTGTAGTAGTGGGCAGATATCTCTCCCACAGGGGTGTCTACCAAACAGGATCAATAACTATTGTCGGGCGAAGGCAAGGGTCTTTGGGGGGATCCATGGAGGGAACAGGCTAATTCTGAGTCTGAAAAGTACCAATCAAAATGATGACTCAACCTGAACGGTGTTTCAGGGAGTGCGTGACATATTCATATTCAGTTTGAGAAATTGAGGATAAAGCAGGTGGATAATTGCGTTCCATGTTTAAAATACCCGMAAGGTCAGGGCAGGGTTCAAGGAGAGTGTGTGACAGTACTTTAACAATGAGGAGAATATTATACTGCATGTGTACCCTTGAGAAGAGGAACTGTAAGATTGCCACGCAGCATCCCCCAGGAATGCTGAATTGCCCTGTGCTTTAGTGTGACCATTAAGAAACAGCAGTTCACTTGCCAACTCTGTGATGTAAGCAGCAGCATTTACATGTGGCACGTTATATTAGGCATTGTGATTGAAGTTTATTCTGAATTTCTAATTTGTAATTTATCAGTAGGGATCATTTCTATAGGAACAAAGTTGCAGAGCATTAGCTTGAATATCCTAGATAACTCGTGTCTTAGAAATTGGGAATTGAGGGGCGGGGGTTGTGGCTCAGCTTACCTAGCATGTGTGAGCCACTGGGTTYGATTTTCAGCACTGCATATAAATAAATAAAGAATAAATGTCCATTGACAACTAAAAAATATTTWAAAAAAAAGAAATTAGAAAGTGCGAAATATGCAAATGATTTTTTTTTTTAATGTCACTTTTCTTTTGAAAATTTTTCTCTGTTAAATTTTAAGATTTGTTTTACTAAGTTTCAAAATTTTGTTTTCCGGTTTTTCATTTCTTTAGGGAATTTTGCTGCGAACCAGACACCAAAACACAACTGAAGGAGAAGAGCCAAGACCAGAGATCACTGTATCAGCAGAAAAGATGAGAATAAAGAGAGAGGGGAAGAAACCCACGGAACCCTCCCAGGAGGTGGGGCTGCAGGGCCCAGGTGATGGAGACGAGAAAGCTGAGTCCAGGGCCAAAGTCAGGGGAAAGAGAGCTGGAATTGGGAATCAGATTTCCCAGCCTCACACAGCAGAGGAGGAAGTGACGCAGAGAAGTGTGGGAGTCCCCATGAAGAACCAGGAAGAGAAAGGAGCAGCTGCAAATTCAGACTTCAGGTGTCTGAGGTCCAGAAAACCAGGCATGCAGCCTAGTCTGGAGAGTGAATCTGAGCAGAGAGTCACTCGAGGTGCCAAGAGATGTGCAGAAAACCTAAAGGTAACTAATTATATACATACACGCAGAGAATGGGTGTGTTTATGCAGTGTTGCAAAGGCCAAAGAGAAGCACATACATAACGTCATGTTATCAGCTGACCATTAAAACTTTTAGAAGTACTAATCTAGGTCACACATTTTGTCCTGAGTTGTATTTTCTTTGGGAATTCCACTTCCAATAGTGAATGCAGGTCATGGAAGGCTTCATTCAGGATGGGYTGGGAATGTACCAGGTCATCCCACTGTCTGACTGCTTGTGACATAGCTCTCACTAAGATGGTATGGAATGTCTTCAGTCTATCCTGGGTTCTGCAAAACTTGCTGAGGAAAGCTGGTCCTGTCTGGACCCTTGTTTAGAAACACTGAACAAACAAAGGCTGGGGGGTCCAGAAGGCAACTAGCACTGTGTTAAGTTCCATGCAGGGGAGTGGGTGTGACATTCCCCTTCCCCAGGAAAAGAAGTCCATAAAACCCTCCCAGGAGGGTCAGGACAGTATCTGACCTACCTACCGGAGCCACTTCTAATTCCAATAACCCACAGTGCATCATTAAACTCATGAGTGTTTTCCTGGAGAATCCTTGATTGAGCTGGAGGCCTGTGGTCCCAGCTGCTGTGGAGGCTGAGGCAGGAGGATTGAGAGCTCCAGGCCAGCCTGGGAGACCTGTCCCCCAACCCTCTGCCCTCTGCCCAAAAGTAAAATGAATAGATACGAAAAAGGGCAGGGTGGACAGGAGGGGTGTGTGTGTGTGTGTGTGTGTGTGTGTGTGTGTGAGTGGCCTCAGAGTTGCTCTCAGCACACACAATCTGGACCTAACACTGGCCTATCCTGAGATCAGTCAGTGACAGAAGGTAGCAGTGGCCACCTTGATATGTCAGGTGCAGGTGTCCGACTGGCACACCCTTGGACAAGCCAGGAATCTTGAGCTGATACCACCAAGGATGATACAGTCAGACTCCCAGGTGCCCCAAGACCATCAGTGAGCTGGGTAGGAAGACTCCTGCCTCTGGTGGTGGCAGGAAGCCCTAGTGGGGGTATTGATAGAAGGTTCCAGAGAGGGAGGAGGAGAGGCTCAGGAGAGAGTGATGTCCAGGAAGAGGTTGTAAGTCAGAAGCTGTGCCAGGGGCTGGCCGGAAGCAGAAGCCACCTGATGGTGGCAAGGCATGGTCCTGCAGGCCTCAGTAGCCTCACGAGTTTAACAGTGGCCCTCGGCGCCAATTTTACCCAAAAGGTCAGGCTGCAAACACGTACACGCTCTAGTGTGGAAGGTTGTGCTTCATCAGAGTGGAGCTGAGGAGTGAAAGCCACCGCTCTTCTCCCTGGGATGATCCTAACCCCACAGCAGCCTGGCCCAAGGGAGAGCCAGTCCTGACAGTTTTGTCAGGGACACTCTGGCCTCTTCCTTGTCACCCACCAGCAGCCATGAAGACTCCCAACACACAGTGATGGGCTTMTGCAGGGTTTCTCACCCGGCGCCCACCATGGGCTCCAGCTCTGGCTGTCCAGAGGCCCAGACTGCTTCTGTAAGAAGTCGGTTTCTCCAKGTACAAGTTCCCAGCTTGGTCACATTTTCTGTGTTCCTTCCCCCTTAGGGGAAGCAGACAGGAACCAAGGGCTGGTGGAAAGTTGACTGGGGGCAGGGTGGGGTGCAGGGACACGTCCTGGCATTGATGAGAGAAGCAAAGATGGTCTCATGTGGTGAGTAATGTTGAGGCTGAGGAAGGACCACCAGGAGGGGACAGGAGGGGACTCTGGAGACCAGGGCTGTGGCCACAGCTCAGCATGGATGTGTGAATTCACTGGTCTGAGAAAGGTTGTGTGACCTGGAGAGGCAGAAATCTCATTTGTTGTAAGCTGGAGTAGTGGTCAAAACTCTGACCTGCATTCACCTGGGGTCTTGTTTAGTGTCCCTTTCACCCTAGAGTCCTGAAGGAACAGCTACAAGTGGGTGAGGTGGCCTGTGGACATCTAAGACGCGTGATGGGGTCCGTCCCTACCTATTTGCTGGTAGAGCGGGACTCAACCACCATGTGCCCACCCTCTGCTATCATGGTGCTGGGCCCTTAGTGCTTCCTGCCTTTTGACTACAGGTTCTAGAACTCGACAAATGAGTACACCTATTTCTTTCTTTCACTCACACCAAGCTTTGTGTCTTGAATTCTAGGCTTGTTTCACTACCGTGTGATTTTGTCATAGTGCTGCTTCTCAGGAGTGTCTACATCACACTTGCTCTTCCTTGTGGGTTTGGGGAGGGGTCTGTGTTCAGCAGCATGCAGACCCCAGGGCTGAGGTTCTGTCTGAACGGCTGTAGTCATCTTTGTGCCTTTAGAGTTGATCTGCTTAAAAGGGATGCTCCATCTCCCCGCCCTTCTGGAGGAGACTCACTGCAGGACYGCTCAGGTCACACTCTGTCCAGAGATTGTCCCCTGGGGTGGTTTGCTTTTGGTTTAGGAGATTCACATTTTTAATCCAGGTTGAATTTATGTTTTYTAAATGATATTTTAAGTTTAATAATAAAAAGTTTAGGAAAGAAACTACTTTTAAGGTGATTTATCTGAAAACAAATCTCTAACCTCAAAATGAATTTTTTTGAACTAAGGACCTGCACAAATTCTAATAATAATTTGCATATTTTTTAGAGCAGGGTTCATTACAAAAATCATTATTTTAAAGTACTTAAGAACTGTTTTATTTTCTTTACACAGGTTAAGGACACAGTGGACACCAAGAAACTAAGGAGCAGAAGTCACCGGCACAGGGAAGATATTTAGCAAGTAAATTTAAGAGGGAAAATATATAATAAAGTTAGTTTAGTGTTGAATTTTTAGTATAATTTTTGATACCAGTATAAAAATGAATTGTGTAAATAATAATATGGGTGTGTTTAAGAGAAGAAAGAATTTTCAGGCTCTGGTTTGTCTTTATAACCCTGCAAGGGGTCCACAAGGGGCATTGCCGGCCAGTTCCTGAGTGGTAACGATTCATGTTTGGGGCAGGTGGACAAAGCATGTTTGCTCCATATTGCAGAATAAAGCCCTGATCCTGATGTCAGTTTTGGCTTCTTTGTGGCTTGTGTCGTAGTGTATCCTCTTTGGTCATGTGAGAGTCTGTGTCTTGCATATAGTTTGAAAGGTAAGAACTTCTTGGCAGTCATCAGTTAATCAGCAATGCCTGAGTGATTAGACCAGTGGAATTTACAAGAGTCTACCATAGGGAGCATTCTGGGCCSACATTAATTAGGCTATTGGTCATGTTTGGTGTCCTTGCCCTTTAGGGTAATGGAGCCAATGGRGGGTGGTTGGCGATCCTGTCTTTGGAGTCATGGGGTCCTGTTAGGGAATGATCAGGGGTTTGCTTTTCCACTGAATCTGAGTCTGCCCAGGGCTGCTCTTGTCTGAGACAGTCTCTGCCACAGCATTTTGGGGCCATCAGCTTGTGTGCCACTCCATTCCAAACTACATCCTTCCTGGGTTCTGCTCCCATGTCAGACTTTTTTCCTGAGTGCGCCTGCCTGACATCACCGGGCACAAGAGGTAATACAAACTCCCTTAGAGGAGAATCCATCTAGGAGGGAGCATGGAATTCCTTCACACATTATTCCCTCTCTTTCTTGTGAGCACACGTTTCCTGAATCTCGTTTTAAGCCCAGATATCTCAATTTTAGACCTGTAGACAACTTGCATATATCTTCCTATTTCTACCTTGTATTCTGTTCCCTTTCTGTTTTCTAAATCAGAAAATAGCACACTGTCCCCCGGGTAGCTGTCTGCACCCTGTCCAACCACCTACCTGCCCTTGTCAGGTGTGAGGGTGGCAGCAGACTGGATATGGAGCCACATGGTGTGATGTGCCCATGAAGGGTGGTGCCTGTCCCATCCATTTTTGTCACCCTGTGTCTGGTGTGGAGCCAGGTGCACATTCTACAGGTACTAAATGAAGGCAGGAGCCTGGAGCGGCTGGCTGGACCCCTCGTGGTCAATTCTACGTTGGCTGCCAAGAGAAGCTGTGATGGTGACAGGTTATTCTCAAAGGAGGCTGCAGAATGGGGCTGGGAAGGGCGTCTAGAAAGCTCCACCAGGGCAGAGGCAGTTGTGCGGCCACAGAGGAGTGGGGCTGTGCCCAGCACAAGACACAAGGCCCTTCAGGGGAGCAGTGCTGGGTGCTGTGTCCTTGGTTGACCTGAGCCTTTAAAGTCCTCGCTGTCACACACCGTTGCAGGTAGCTGAGAGCCGGCAGCCTCTGGCCACAGTGCCCACTCACTCACCTTTAGGGGCTGTGCTGGGTCAGAGCTAAACTTTAAAGTTTTAAAATCATTGTATGTAAATTAGTTCCCACTTCCTGATGTAGGGCACTTGGTGTGCACGTATGTGGGGCACTGGGCATTGACCTGGATCCTCATGTATGCTACGCAGGTGCTCCACCACTGAGCTACACCCAGCCCCTAATGCAGGTCTTGTCTATAAGGACTTAAGGCACAGAAATAAAATTAAGAAATGTGAAGAAAGAGACAGAGGCTGGTAGTCAAAGTAATGGTTTATCCTCGCATCTGAATGTTTTAGATCTTGCAATTTGCATATACAAAGAATTCAGCAACATTCACTGGCATTATACTGAGAGCAAGATCAAATCATAAATCTAATAAAAGAAAATATGATAGTTGGAATTGTCATACATACATATAAAGACTGCACATAAATTATGCACAACTTAGTTAAATAAACGAAAATGTATCAGTTATCATACATTTTAAAAAATAACATGGGTATGTCTCCAAATGCTGAAACACAGGTATCAGGCTCATTTTAAAAAGTTTTTAAAAACACATAAAAATACCTTTGAAAACACCAGTATGCATTCTTCATCTGTCTAGCACATCGAGAGAATAAATTAAGTCACATAGTGACCACGGAGCATTCTGATCAGAATGGGAAGCTTCTGATCTCTATTTGGCATTTGAACGCAATGCATGCAGCAGAGAAAGGCGGAGGGGCCCTGTGGTGGCCAGCCCTGGGCYGTTGTGTTCTGTACACTGGACTTTCTTTGACTGAGGGAAGAAGAGATGAATGTGCCAAGTGCACAGATTAGATGCCAGGGCTTCCAGCTGTACTCCCTCTCCRCACAGCTGCCCAGGGAGAGGGTCTGAACTTGGCCTTGGGGGAGGTTGCAAGGCTGTAGGGACCAGCCCMTGTGAAGGCAAGTCTGCCCAGACTGGGAAGGGACCCTACATCCACAGGAGGGTGGCTTCTGGTTGTTTCTGGAAAGGGATAAGTTTGGGAACAGGCAAAACCCAAAAGGGGACACCTGGGATAATCCCTGGGATGGTCCCCAGGGATGGGGGTGGGGGTCAGATAAACACATAAACAGGGCACTTTCCTGAGGACACTTTCCCTGCACATCTACCTTAAGGCACTTCTTGATACAAGAGTTGCCAGGTAGACCATAAAAGGGCTTCAAGAATTCTGACTACCAGCTCCTAAATGGGGACGGAATTCCTGGCCYTTGGCTTTGACGTTAAACTCTAATAAATCACCAGCTCGACAGTGCCCTTGCCAGGGGCTGAATGAAAGTACATGGCCCTCTTTTTCTCCTTTAGTCAAAGAAAGGCTCAGGGCTTGGGATGTTAACAATGGAAAACAAAAGTAGCAATTGGCAAGTTACAGAGAGCTCCTTCCTTTCGGGTCTTTCCCCAGGTGCCTGACTGCTGCAGAGGACAGGGTGCAGGCAGCTTGCCGGGCCTGGTGCAGTGCGGTGGCGGTGGCGGTGGTGAGGGAGCAGGCTTTCCTCCTTCCAGAAGGGCAGCTACTGTGGTCCCTGGGGCGGGGCTCTGAGCCGTGGGGAGGGAGAGGAGCTTGGTTACCTATGAGCCTGTGGAGGACAGTGACTGAGCCAGTCACACCTGCATATACTGTAAACGAACAGGGGATAAACAGTGCAGCAGGTGGGCACCCTGGGTTCTCAGTGAAAATGCCAAATAAGGCCACTATAATTTCATACCTCTTTTAAAAGCAAAAAAAAAAAAAAAAAAAGTACCATAACTGCACATGTTCAATGCTTTCAGTATGTCAGACCAGACATCTGCTGTTAATACTGTGCTCTTCTGCTAGGTGCCTGATGGCCATGGGAAGATCATAGCCGAGTTAGAGGTTTGGACACTCATTCCCCCACCTTCTCCTCTGCCCCTCAGCCAATCCCATTGGCAGCAGGATCACTATTATTACCTAGTGCCAAAGGTCTCAGCAATATTTCCATTCAAAAATAAGTTAAGACTTTAGATTAAGGATTTCTCTGTCTTTGTTTTTTATTAAACATTGAAGAGTGGGATGTTTAAAAACTGTACAAATCTAGATTTTTTTTAAGATTTCTTTTCTTACAAACAATCTTAGCTTTTTACAAGAAACTTTTAAATACCAAAATGCTTCTCAGAAAATTTACAGTGTGTTTGTGATCATCCTCGGATGTCTACCCAAATGTGTGCTCCTCGACTGTGCGTGCATAAGACACTGTATGTTTGGACGGGAGGATTCTGCACTGAGCCTACAGGCCTAGCTCAAGGCCTGCACAGGCAGCTGCCATGCCTAGGAGGGAGAAGGAGAATGCTCTGGGTTGGACAGACAGATGGACCATAAGTGGTGCTTTGGGAGTGTAGCCCCCATGGCTGACTTTGCTATACCCAAGGCCACGGGTGGATGGACGACCTGGCCATCATCCATGTCATCTACAAACATGGCTCACACCGCAGCCTCTTGAACACACAGCCACTGACCACACTGCTGTGTTGTGGGCCTGGATTCAGGTTGGAAAGTCTTAGACCTTTACAATGGAAAGATAAATCACGTGGCTGAGGCTGAGGATTTTGCAAAAGTCCTTAGTGCATTGCTTTCAGAAATAATGCTGTTGCTCAGGGTTGTAAGATCAGCACTTGGATTCTCACTATTCAACTGATTTCTGAGTCCTCAACTGTCTTGACAATGGCCTTTGTGTTTAGGGTCTTGCATAAGCACACTTGGCATATTAAGAATTCCAACATTTAGAGATGCACAATGTGTGAAATTACATGATATGAATCTAATGAAGAATGAAGGTATTTACTGATATTAGCAGAAATATATATTTTGTGGGATATTATTTGACCTTAACATATTATTCCAATTTTTAAAAAAAGATATTTAAGATTTAATAACTTTATAGCAGGTGGCCTTTAAAGCATGACAAAATATATACAAAGAAATTAGGAAGGGCATTAATGTCAACTATGAAATAAATTAACATRATTTTTACAAAATATACTGACAATTAAATTAAAAAATATTTTAAGGCAGGAATCTTCATTTGAAATTAGCATAATCAGAAAATATATCAATAAAATCTTGTACCACTTTGTAGCAGAATTCATACTGTTCCTGAAAAGAAAAATAAGAAACAGTGAAATGATGCTTCAAAACCCATATTTGAMTACTCATTAAAATAAAAACCATTAAAAAAATTAAATTCTGCCTGCTTACTGAAATACCGTCTGCCCACATGCATATCAGCTTCTGTAACACAGTTTAGTTTTCAGGCCCATAAAAATTTCCAAATAAAGCTTTTCCTTTCATAGAAAGTGTCAGGATTTAGTTTCAGATTAGTGCATTCTCCAGTAGTTCAAGTAAAATATCTTTAGTTCTTATATTTAAACTGTAAAACAAACATTTTTTAAACAAAAAAACCCCAAAAGTTCTATCAGATAAAGTTCATAATGTAACAAAAAGTATTTCAYGAATGTTAAATAAAACAAAGATCTGGATTATTGCAAATGTAAATTTACTCCACTAGAGGACTTGGTTTCATGTGACTTTTACTAGAAGTCAAAAGAATAACTGCCTTACATTTGTGTAAGGCATTTCTGTTAGTATGACCTTGTACATATTGCCAGGCTCCTTGTCTCAGCCACCCCATGAGGGTGACCATCCCGCACTGCCTGTGGTGACCATCAGTGGGAAGAAAGGAAGGTGAAGAAAATGATAATTGCTGAATTTTTCCTGAAAAACCTACTGAATATTCAGACAAGCAAGTGGACATAATCCAGCACAGGCAGAGGAGGTTCTCCAAAGGTTCCAGTGACAGCCGACAGGGGTGATCCTGCCTGTCCTGTAAAAGGGGGCAGCCCACGGGGCACATGTGAACTGGGAGCCTTAGCCAAGGGCTCAGGAGGCCAGAGAGGCTGGGAGCCGTCCTCAGCGGCCTCCTCTCTTCTTTCCCAACATATGGGATGCAGCCTCTTCAAATCACAGGTCCAACAAAGGTCAGAACATGCCCTAAAGACGGCAAACCTCAGCTGCTCAGCCTTTCCGGGAGTCTCAGTATGATCAGGATGGGATGGCACATGGTTTCCAGAAAAAGAAAGTAGGACCAAAAGCCTGGACCTGAGAGTGCATGAATGCCAGTCCCTGCCAAACTCAGTCCAGGATGCGGGAAACAAGACTAAGTGGTCAGCAATTAGAAACTGGTTTGTGTGCCAAGTCAACCTGCACCAGTGAGCCTCTCTTTACCCAACTGAGGTTTTGCACCCTGTGTTCTTTGCCCAAATACCCTGCTAAGAGACAGGTCTGGCAGCACAGAATAGTGGTTCTACCCTTTAATTCTGTAGTCAGGTAGGTTGGGTTTGAATCTTGTTCTGACACGTAAAACCCGAGCAGTCTGCTTGACTATTCCAAAGGGGATGACTGCAAGAACATGCCCCGTGGACATCAGGATACGCAAGGAGACGAGAAGGATGTCTGTAAAGTGCCTGATACCTGATAGTCATCACGCAATGGCCRATTTGTCCCTATTTGTCTGCTCGTTGGCCTCTGTTTTGGAAGGCACACTATGTGCTGGATGTGGGGGTGTGAAGCTGCCACTAGGCAGGAGAGCCAGAAAAAAATCCCAGGGCAGCTTCCCAATGAGGGGGACAGGAGGAGCGGGGGAGAAGGGATGAGGGAGCAGAGCTGGGAYGGCAGGGCACTTGGACCTGATGCACTGGGCCAGACAGGAAAATTACATGAGCCATTTACTCTCAGAGTCCAAGGAAGTTCTGCAAGCAGCTTCTCTGCAAGATGATCTTTGGTACAGTTGCTGGTGCCTCCCCTGGGGCCAGGCACTAGTAGAACTTGAAAGCAAATTTTGCACAGTGGCTTAAGGACAGTGCCATCAGCCCATTTCCCACAGAAACCCCAAAAGCAGAAGGAGCTTGTCCAAGTCGGCAGAGCCTTGGGAGAGTCCCATTGTGGCCAAGATGTTGTCCTGGAGGCCAAGGGTCACAGGGTTCTCACAGTGTATCTTTCTCTTATACTTATGACTGCTCAGGCAGGACTAGAAGATGCCCAGAGGGAGACCAAAAAGGGGTTCTTATTAAATTCTTAGTAACCATTATGATTGCTATTATTTTTATTAACACGTATTAACTGAACGAATTAATGGAGTTCATTTGATATTTCAACACTTTGTGGAGTGCTCTGTGCCATTTTTCCCACACCCAGCATTGTTCAGCTGTGACATGTGGGGCAGGAACTACCAGGAGGCAGGTGTAAGGCACAGGAGGCATTTCCTCAGAGCCCCACAGGGACCAACAGAGCTGRGACTAGGGCCAAGGCCAGTGGAGAGCTCTGGGTGCCTCATCCTTCCGACTGTTGCCAGCCATCCAGGTTCCCAAGGGGGTCAGAGCTTGCAGGGTGCAGAGACCTACAGTGCAAGGGATCCAGCAAGCACCAAGCTCCTTCCAGTCCAGGGGCTCTCAAACTTGGGTTCACTTTGCTACCAGCTGTGGGACTTTAAATAGGCTGATACCTGGGTCCCCCAATAGGGGATTAGATTCCACTTAATTGGTTTGAGGGGCCATTTGGGCAACTGGAGGCAAGTTAAAATCTCCAGGTGAGTGTACCCTGCAGCCAGGACAGACAACCCTGGTCTCAGTCACCAAGGCACACCTACTCTTGGCTCAGTGGTTGCTGTGGCTGCTGTGCCCTGCTGTGACAGGAAAGCTGTGGGAAGGTCCTCTCTCCTCCTTTCTTTCAGTGGGGACCAGGCTGCTCAAGGCAGCTTTGTGCCAATGTGGAGAAGGAGCAGGCAGGGAGGAAAAGTCCTAAACCAGGGAGCTTTAGGGAAAATGAGGAGCTCTAACAGTCTTAAAATCATACCTTCTGGTGTAGCAAGTGCCCTTCCTGAATTTGGTGAGGAAGACTCAATTCCCAAAGCAGGAAGCATGTAACATAAGACAATGTGTAGGGCAATCATCTACCAGCTGGGTCCCTTATGTCCCTGGGCAGGGTCTTGAGGTTAGGTGAGACTCTCCAAGGAAATCAGACCAACTAAACGCCATAGTGTAAGAATGAAAATGACAAGACATTTCGGTGCTGCTTTTGAACTTGATAATGATGTGATCTTTAAATGTGGTGGAATTTGTGGGCAAGCCCCTCCTCTTGGTCTTGCCCACAGGACAGAAGTGTGTGAGACCCAGGAAGGGAGGGTCTGCGGCTTCACTGTGGAAAGCTGCAGCGGCTCTCTGCCCCGGGAATCGCACCCTCCGCCTCCCCACGCTGGAGCACCTTTCATGAAACAGACATCAAACACACGACACAATCCTCCACTCTTCTGGAAACATCCTTATCGTTCAGGTTCTTACCAGGGTTTGCACCATGTGTGGCCTCTGAAGTCGTAAGCTCTTCACAGCTTGAAATACATCTAAGAGTCCCTCAGCTTTTACTCGTTCCAAAATGTTGCTGAGGGCTATGAATGTACCTGTTCGCCCAGCTCCCGCACTGTGGACAGAAAGTACGTGGTGATGATCATTCAGCTTGTACACAGAGAGCTTACAGCCACCCCTGCACACCAGCACGGAAGGGACAGTCACTGGAAAGGARCAGAGTTTGACTGGATCTTTAGTGATCTTTCCTGGAGCTGAGTTTCTGAGCAAGATTCAGCAAACCTACCATTGCCAGAGCACGTCCCCATTTACAGGAACCAGCTGGTTTGTGAAATGAATCAGACAGTTACAGTTTTTAAGCATTTCCCTTTTTCCTTGTGCAGACCAGGGGTTCCCCAAGTGTGGTTCAGGGAGCAGTGGGCTCAGCATCACCTGGGAACTCATTAGAAATGGGAACACTGCCATTCAGGTCCAGGGAGGGAGGAGGATCCTGGCCCACACCCTCCTTACTGTGCAGGCCTGTCTTCTGGAACAGGGGASCTGAARAGTGGCACTTAAGGGATGTTAAGACAGCAGGTGCTCACTGCTGAGGRTGGTCAGACCTCGGATTTCCAGCAGTGAGCGTGGAGTGAATGTGAATATCCAGGGCCAGATGCTCTTAGTGTAGCCCAAGCCAGAGGCCGACAGGAGGTGGGACTGCCCAGCCTCTTCCAGCAGCTCTGACCTGCTGTGTTGCCTTCTCCCACACCTGCCTTTCCTCAGGTGGGACCCCTTGTGCCCTCGATGTGCTGAACTCTTCAGGAAGCCGCGCCTTTCTACTTTATTCTAAATGACCTCTGCAAAGCCCTCTGGAACTGAGCGCCAGGTGTGAGCTCCGCTTCCTGGTCAGGACAGGAGTGCACTCAGGTGRCCTCACGCTGGGAAAGAGTCCCACCCCTCTTAGTTAGGCAGGGGCTCTGGTGGCCACACTCTATGGGGCAGCGGGTGGAGGAAAGGCAGGTCATAAGAAGTGGGAAGTGAAACAGAATCACAGCTTTAGAAGCAAATCATCACCACCAAGAATGAAACACCCCAAACCCAAGTCGGCAGAGCCTTGGGAGAGTCCCATTGTGGCCAAGATGCTGTCCTGGAGGCCAAGGGTCACAGGGTTCTCACAGTGTATCTTTCTCTTATACTTATGACTGCTCAGGCAGGACTAGAAGATGCCCAGAGGGAGACCAAAAAGGGGTTCTTATTAAATTCTTAGTAACCATTATGATTGCTATTATTTTTATTAACAGGACGGACGGCCTGTTGGGGTTAAGGTTATGGAGGGCGGGTCTTCAGATCTGGCGGGATTTACTCTATGCTCTCTGCAAGGTGCTGTCAGGTCCTCCAGGGGGAAATCCACTGCCTCCAGGGACACTCTACTCTGGGATGTCCCTCTTCCCCTGCCCATGATGGGGTGGGGGGTGKCGATGAGGGATCCCAACCTGAATCCCCTCACGTGGCCAACCCCCACCCCCACCCTCGTGGTCCTTCGGCCGCACCGACTGTTCCTGGAGCAGGAGGGAGGATGGCTAGAGAGGCCCGGAACGATATTCAGGACCACGTTCCCAAAGCCTCCTGCAGGTGCTTTCTGCGTGTATACTGGGATGGCATTCACGTGCTATGTGATGTCATGCGTGAAGTGTGTAAGGGAAGGGACACATCTGGGGACTCACATGCCCGCAGCACTCCCGGGCTCTGTTCCCCAGCTGCCGGGTGGGCGGCAGGGTCTGTGGGCGCGCTCACCTGCAGTGCACCGTGATGGGGTGGTTGCCGGTCTGCTGCTGCTGCTTCTGCACCGCCGCGATGAGGTCGATCATGCCTTTGCCCTCGGCGGGAATTCCGATCTCGGGCCAGCCGTGGAAGTGGAACTGGCGCACGGTTCGGACCTGCCCTTCCTGGCGGGCCAGGGGCTGCAGGGGAGAAGGGTCTCAGCACTGCAGGTCCACGCCCGCTGGGTCTACCGACCTGTCACCAGTCTGGCTGGGCCCAGAGCCCTCCCTGGCCCCTCTGTGGACACCAACGTCATCTCCCTCCCCCCCAGGCTATCCAAGGGGCCTGGCTAGACCTGGGTCCAAGACATATAAGGACAGCTGGACTCAGGGAAGGACATCCTCTTTCTGAGATGTCAGGGCTCAGGGGCTGGAGGCAAGTCCTGCTTATGCCTAGCAGCTGTGTGGCCCCCTGGACTGGCTGGCTGGAATTCAGAACCAGGACCCACAGGTGAGTCGTCTCACCCTGCTGACCCCGAGGTCACGGAGAGTTTTTGCAAAGGTGATCAGAGCCCTGGACCTAAAGGGGACCTGGATGGGGGTTCTGAGGAGGTCCATGGCAGAGGGCCCCAAGAGGCCTCGGTGGCTTCATCCATCTCATCCTCTCCTGCTCACTACTGAGGTCACTGCTCTGGCTGGAATGGGAGCGAAATGCTGGATGGGTGGGCCTCTGCCTCACAGCCTCAGCTTCCAGCCAGGATGCAGGTGACCACCAGGAGGTATGGATTCAATGGGAGACTGGCCACTGGATAGCTCTTCATGTGCTCTGGGACTCAGGAAAAGGCAGATAGAGCCTGGCAGGTAACAGGCACAGGCCTGGGTCTGGCACCGTGACCAGCAGATCCCTGAGTGAGGAGGCTTCATGAGGTCTGCAAGAGCTGAAAGAGCCAGGGCAACAATACCTGATTGAAGGTGACCAGGAAGTCGCGTATRCTGATGGCATCAGAAAGGGTATCGCTCTTGATCTCAATGGTTATTTCTCCATGAGTGACTGAGCCCTCTGTCGGCCAGTACTGGTAGCATTTATCCTTGAGAGATGAAATGAAATGTTAAGTCTGGTAACACCTGGCTACTACTGCTTTTGATCTGATGATGTAGAATTGTTGTCAAACCATTTAAGATATTTCACCTGTCCAAGAAAATGACATATGAATCTGAATGTGATATCCATTAATGCCTGTTGATCAAGGGCCCAGAATAGAGTCTAGAAATAAATACATACATGGAACTTCATACAGAACAGAAAGGAGAGATTATTCAACAAAGTGAGCTGGAAAAATAAAWCTGGATCCCTGGCCCTTACCCTGCAGGACTGATGTGCCTCCTGGAGGTGGCCGGATAGGGGCTGTCTTCCATAATAGTAGCCTGGAACCCTCACAACAACAAACTGGATAGCTAAGACTTAAGGCTAAAAACAAGTCTGTGAAACCCTTAGAAGAATAAAATATCCTTTCACTTTGGGATACAGAAGGATTGACTAAATAAGACCCCCAATGAGTGAGCCCCAAATGAGGTACTATTAAAAACAGCTGATTGGAGTGAAACTCACATCTCTTATTAACAGACATCATCGAGAGTGAAAAGACAGGCCACCAACTGCAGAGAGGTGTTTGCAATGCATGAAACCARCCAGGATGAGCACGGAGAGCATGCAGAGAGGTCTAACAAATCATCAGGAACGGGCCCCCTGCCCCGTAGGAGGGAGCATGGTGCAGAGCTGAGCCGGCGTTTTACACAAGAGGAAAAGTGCCAGCCACAGATGGGGGAAGTGTGCTCCACCTTGGAGGAGTCAGGGGGATGCAAATCAGGACCAGGAAGAGGTGTGTCTACATTTATTTACTCACACGGATCAGGGTGCCCAGAACACTAGGCGTGTAACACTAGGTGATAGATCCTACACATCCCAGGTGAGCCCTCTGCAGACCAGTTTGGAAGGAAAGCAGCTGAGAATCATCTGGCAGATTCCCACTGCAGGAGCTCTGCAGGGGAGGGCACACTGGAGACCCCACCCAGTACAGCGTGAGACATGTACAAGAAGGGGCAGCAGCACCATTGGTAAAAAGGAAAACGGCAGGAGGAAGGTAAAGGAGGGGCGTAATGAAATGGRGCGATGCCAACACAGAAAATCAACCCAAGCCCAGACTTAAGTGGAAAAATCCAGACYTCGAGGAGCACACATGTAACACTACTCTTTATATAAAGTTCAGACATAAGCAAAAGTCTTTTTTGTGGCCCCCCCTTCCCCTCCCCTCAGCCTGGCAACAGGTGGCCTCCTTTTGGACCCCAAGGATTTGCTGTTCTAGACATTAAGATAAACAGACTCATCCTGGGTGGTGCTGGGCTCGTTCACCTACACGAAGCTTTCTCTGTTGGGTTCATGAATGTTTGTCACATTATGAAGTAAATACGAGAGGGCCAAGGGTGGGTTTCTGGGAAAACGAAACAGAAACGTGCTTGATTTGACTAGGACAATATCAACAGGGGACGMATGTCAACGTCTGTCTCTTTCTTCAGCGGGTGGTGATCTCGACTGACACAGGATCAGGATTTGAACTAAGGCTAAGAGGGGTGTTTAGGCCGACACCCCCTCCACCCCCAGAAAAGCAGAGGGTGGAGTAGGACCCTTCTCATCTCTGACCTCTCCCCCACCTGCCAGGCTGGGCCTCACCAGCCTGTCTGCAGGACACAAGCAGRTGAGGTGCCGTACGGGGCAGCCTTGGCCACTGCAGGTGCCCAGATGCCCTGGAGGACCTGAGCCGGCGACAGTGCTCACCTGCTCTCGCTCCTGCACCTCGGTCAGCATCACGATCGTGTGGCACTTCCACTCCCACACCATCCTCCAGAAGTCCTCSACGGTGTGCGCCAGCGGCCCCTGGGTGGCGATGAAATAGTCCTTCTGGCGGTAGCCCTTCAAGTGGGGGAGAGAGGTTAGAATCCGGCTTCCTGATCTCTGATGCCACCACTTGCCAGGAGCGCTTAGCACAGCCCCAGGCCTGAGGAGGCAAACTTGATCTTCATGGCCTGAACCAAAGCCAAGTTGTACACGTGTGTGCACACGCACACCCCCCACACCCATGAAGCAGGCCAGGATGCCCACTTCACCTGAGCACTCCACACCTGGCCTCCACCTCCAGCAACGGAGGTCCCCTCTGAATAGCTACTGTGAACTACCAACTACAGCATGTTGGTGGGGCGGGGGCCTGGGCAGGGACCTAGGCGTGGAGCCAGAGGAAGGTGCTTCAAATCCCAGTTCCACCAGGGCCCCACTGACATCTGGAGTCATCTCCTCAACTGCAAACGGGAACACTAGTGTGCATTTGGCCATAAGGTCTATCCTGCCTGCTTTTCTGCAGATGCCATTGTGCATAAGGACATGCTGTGGCCTGGACACATGATCCTATGGYCCATATCGTTGGTACAAGTCACAGAAATAGCCCAGGGAGGAAGCCTCAGAAGCCCTGGAGGTATGGCTGGGGTGTAATGGGTGTGTTTGAGAAAAGCAGCTCGAAGTGGAAGCTGGTGAAGAAATGGCCACTGACCCCGCAGTGTCATGGCCTATTCCCAAGCACAATCTTTTTTTTTTTTTTTAAGCAAGCAACTTGGCTACCAGCAGCTGAGTTTCTGCAGACTTGCCAGTGCCTTCTATGGTGAAAAGAAGGTACCAGAGAGTGTGGCCACACAGGAAGGCACACACACACCATGCACACCTTAGGCTACAGTACTTACGTCTATGAAAGATGCATTGATGTAGTCCGTGTACTCCTGACCCCTTTTCATGGAGAGGATCACTCGGTTGAAGTCATCTGCAAATGGCATTATGTTTCAGTGAGAACAGATACTGTCCTGCCCTGAAAACCTTGACCTCTGGCTACACACTTCCAAAACGTGAGGCCACCTCTTTGGGGCCTTTACCATATAAAGCAGGTTAATAAAGTTTTCTAGGGAAGTTTTCTTTTGTTTCTTTGGAAAGCTCTGGAAATAATCCAGTTATTCCTTTCATGTTTCATGAATTGATATGATACATACTAAACTGCAAATATTAAAACCACTGACTTTAAGGAATACAGAGTGTAGCCAGTAGGAGCTGGAACTGGCGGCCTGAGGATACTGTGGCCATGGAGAATCACAGGTCTGAGTGGGGAAAGCTGGCCCAGCCCCAGGAACTTCTGCTCTCCGCAGCACAGGTGACCGCGGCGAGAGCAAGCCCGCTCCAGCATTGCCGCGGCAGGCATTTGTTGAGCAGTGGGTCCGTCAAGGGCACGTTGTCTGCAACACGGCTTGCCCTCTTCTTGGCCGGGCGCTGTCCCACCTCCCTCCCATGTGCGTTGGTGCCCTCAGTGTCCACTCTTCGCCCTAACTTCTCTTTATCCCCCACTGGATGAGACCCCAGATGTGGGCTCCTACCTCCTTGCTGACCATTGCCTCCTGTGCCCACAGAGTCAGCAGAGCCCCAGCTCCACTTGCGGCCCTGGTCTTACCCTCCCCAGCTTTCCCCTGGAAAGGCCCAGCTGCCTCGGGCTCTGATCTGGCTGTCCACGTAGCCTCAGCCCACACTCACGCTCCCCTCTGCAGGGGTTCAGAATAAGGGCCCAGGCCTGGCCTGCCCGTGGCCACCCTCTCAGCTTCCCTGAGCCCTCCCTGCAGGGCAGTCCGGGGCCTCCCCCTGCCTCTGGGCCACATCCCAGRCTGGGACACACCTGGACTGCTTGGGCTACCTGGGCCAGAAAGGTCTTCTCTTCTTAATATTTGATAATAGCATCCAGGGGCCCAGACTCTGGATCTGAGGGCACCTGCTCCTGACCCTGGTTTRTAGAGGTGGTTGGTCAGCAGGCTCTCAGCCACTGAGAGCAGCCCATCCCAGCCCCTGCCCCAGTCTGCCCTGAGGGGTGGCGGCCTTACACGGGATGATCTGGATGACTCGGGCCTTCTTCATGTTCGCTGGTAAGTTGCCGGTCCTCATGTTCTCCTTCATGATCCGGACATTGGTCAACTTCTGCACAATTGAGAGGACAYAGTGATGCAGTTATAACTCCTGGGAAAAGTGCTCAGCCAATAACAGTCCTACTGTGGGGGCCCCTGTACACGGGGAACACCTGTCTCCATACCAATAAGTCGCCTCGCATTAGGAGATAACAGGTGGCCTCAAGCCTCACCCCCTGCTTCCAAAGCTATGAAAGCCCCTCACCATTCTTCCTTGAAATCGTGATCCAGCACGTGCCCTGCTCCTCCGGGGTTAGCCAAGAGGGTAAATGAGGGAAGGCTCCATCTCAAGGGTCACTGTCATCCCTTCTCCTCGGCCGCCCACCAGGAGGTRGTGCACCCTGGCCCACTCACCCTGAACTCCTCCTCCAGCCCGATCTTGTCCAAGTGGGTGGCGGTGCCATGCAAAGTCTGCAGGTGCCTCTCCAGGGAGGACACGTCCAGCTCCGTGTCCCCGTAGAGGTAGTACTCCAGCAAGGCTTGGTAGATGAATGTGTATTGCACCTGCGGGAGACCCGGGGTGCCCAGCCTCGACTCTGCCCTGGGCACAGTGGGGCTGTTCTCATCTCTGTTTGCCCATGGAGGGAGGTTGGGGGCAAAAGTCAGATTCATGGCCACAGAGATTGGTCAYTTAGGCCCTCCAGTAAAGAGGATGGTAGACACTGGTGTAAACTGAGGACACCAGGGGCCACCTGGGGTAGCACAGTCACCCATGGCCTATGAAGACATGGAGGACAAGGCTGGGCAGTCCCCAGGGCCCAAGGGAGGGAGGGCAGAATGAGCAGGGAGCCAGGCCTGACGCTCAGCGTGCTCCTGGACGCTACCTGCCTATCGACACCTGGGCCACAGGGGAGGGGCCGCGAGCCCCAAGGTGCCTGTCTGGCCAGGGCCCTGAGGCTGTGTGGCAAGCTCAGACCAGGGTGGGAGAAGGCGTCACTCACATCTGTCTGAACCATCTGAGGGCGCTGATTGCGGATTCGTGACACAAACTCGAAGACATCGACCTTCTGCTCCGAGTGTATCATATCCATCATGGCGTCGATCACGATGAAGGTGCCCGTCCGGCCCACACCCGCGCTTTGGAGAAGAAGAGAGATGCCACCTCCTGGGTCACAGTCCCCTGAAGCCAGGAGCCTGGGGAGAGCCTGGGGTAGGCTGGAGCTCCAGGACAGAGCCGGAGGAAAGTCACTTAGGGAAACTTCTCCCGGGTGCTTGAGGGGTGAGTCTCCGGTGTGACCACCAGAGGGCGCTGCGCCCCCAGTAACCTTCTCCCAGGGCCACAGGCACCGGCAGCTTTCTGGGAGGCTGTTTGGGGGATTTTATCAGCAGCCAAACATTTTCTTCTGGTTATCATGGGCATCATTGTGTCCTGGCAAGGGAGGACATCCTGGGTGTGTCCCCTGGGATCCAAGGGATCATGAGGTCCCTGGGGGAGCGGAGGGGAAGGCCCGGGGGGGCCTGTGGCCCCACTCCCACGGTCAATCTGGGTCTCTCTGTTTGGTTGGTTTTACATMTTGGGGTCTTTTCTCAAAAGCCACCGGAGCCAGGCTCTGCTACATGGGATGTGCTGGGGAGACCCTGAACTTGCCCCTGCTCTCTCCCTGCAGGGCTGTCGGAGCTGCCACTCAGGAACGGCACATCTGTGTCCCGCCCCCCCCCCCCGACCTGCCCCTCTGACACCTTGACATTGTCCACTGGTCACTGTCCCAAGAGCAAGGCTTCCCTCCACGGCCCACCCTCGTACCTGCAGTGAACCACGATGGGCCCGGCGTGGGCGGGGTTGAGCGTCCGCACTTTCTTGAGGAACTTGAGCATCCCGATGGGGGTGAAAGGCACTCCAAAGTCAGGCCAGCTGGTGAAGTGCAGCTGCGAGACCAGCCGCGGGGCCTTGCAGCCCTCGGCCAGCTGCTGTGGAGGGCACAGCGAGTCAGGGGCCGGATGGCCCTCGCCCTGCCCACCCACATCCCTACTGAGGTCCTTGCCTGGGCTCCACAGGGCCATCAGGCTGTGGCAGCAGGGGCTCTTTGGGTGTCAGTGCCCATCAATGTGAAGAATGCCCAAGTGGGAACCCTGGGCCTGGCCACTGCTGACTCTGGACCTGACACCACGGGCTCTTGCAGGGGGCAGGGAGCAGGGCGGTGGGCACCTGGCCATGCCCAGGCCACGCAGACCTCAAGTAGCCAGACATCCCCAGAGCAGGTCCTCAGAGAGCCCACTTCAAGGAGGGGCCTACCCTGCTCTCCCTGCACAGCCTCACTTCTCTCCCATGTCCTGAGCATCAGCAACAGCACCTCCCCCCTCGGAGTGTCTCAACTTGGGGAGAAAAGAAGGGGGTCTGTTCATTAGAGACCCCAGGTCCCCCAGAACCTCTCTGCTCTTGGGACCCAGAGCCTGTGGGTTTGTTCACTGGCCCCAGACCATGGAAGGCTCGAGGTATGTCTGGAGGGGTGTGTGTGTGTTGGCATGTGCACGTGTGTGTGCAAGTGCCTGTGCATCCAGGAGAGAGGAAAGCAGGGGTGAGAAGAAGAACAATAAAACTTACTCTCTCCCTTTCTTGCTGTGGCTTCTAGTAATCTCAGCCTCATATTTTTAAATTTAATTATACCAATCACTCTGTCCTTGAATTCTGATAAAATGTCTGCCTTATGCTTTTAGTGGGGAACTACAGGAAGTGTGRAAAACAACCAGGAGGTTTTGGACACATTTTGAAACTGTTTTAAAAAATGCTGCCTCAACCATCAAGAACACAAGCAAAAATGCTGGAGAGGATGTGGGGAAAAGGGGCCCTTCCACACTGCGGGTCGTAGATTAGTACGACCACTCAGGAGGCTCCTCCAAACGCCAGGCGTGGAGCCACCACACGGCCCAGCCAAGCCACTCCCTGGTATTCTCCCCAGTGAGTTAAAGCCATCACACCACAGTGAGACGTGCACACCCGTGTTTATAGCAGCTCAATTCACCACAGCCAAACTATGGAACCGGCCCAGGTGGCCATCAACAGATAAATGGATAAAGAAAATGCGGTATATTTGGAGTTTTATTCAGCCATAAAGAAAAATGAAATTCTGTCATTTGCAGGAAAATGGATAGAACTTGAAAACAACATGTTCAGTGAGCTAAGCCAAACTCAGAAGGTCCAGGGTCACATGTTTTCTGTCCTGTGTGGAGGCTGGAGAGGAAGAAGGAGAAGAAAGGCAGGGTGGGGCGGGCAGGGATCTCATGAACATGACGGGAGGCCAGTGGAGGAAAGGACCAGCGGGAGTGGGGGCAGCAGGCAGGGAGGAGGGCCGGGGCCTGGCTAGGCCACATGGCATTGTCACCTACTGTGCACTGTGCGCATGTGTGAATATGCGGCGACGAATCCCATCAGCGTGTGCAACCGTAATGCACCAGGTAGAAAATGGGAAAAAAACGGAAATGGCCATCTACACATGGGCTACTTTTAGACTAAAATAAATAAACTAAYTAAACAAAAATAAGCTGCCTTCCACGTCACGTGAAATGACAGCTTGCTACTGAGGGGGACTCGGATGCCCTGCCCTRCCAAATGACTCTTCCTCCTTCCCAGGGAGCCACAGAACAGACGGCCTCTCTGCAGACTTGTCACAGCCCCCTCCGTGAGGGTCTTGCAGGAGGGACGCAGCTTCCCGTGTTGTAGAGTGTAGAAATGTGTTGACCCCAGCCTGTGCTCCCAGGAGTGGCCCTGGCGGGGTGGCCSCGGGGCGTGCTCACCGGCTGTATGCAGAACTTGCGGATGGTGTAGTCCACCAGGACCACGCAGTCCTCCACGCACACCCGGATRTTCCCGTAGGTCCAGCAGCCCTGGTCAGGCCAGTACTGATAGCACTTTTCCTGCATGGAGCAACACACAGAAACAAACAGATCCTCAAGGGTGCCTCCTCACCCGGCCCAGCCCCCGCCGGCCACACAGGGCCCCTGGACCAGGATGGAGACACAGTTCCTGGGGATGGGAAAGCAGGCAGGAGAACGTTTCCCTTATCAGTGGGGCAGGTGAGGTCGCACCATAGGAAAGCAGCCCCAGGACCAGGCCTGGCCGGGCTTGCTGGTTTCAGCTGTGGTCTCTTGGTCTGCTTGCTCACTGAAGCCACACACGTGTGGAGCTGGCCTCAGCCTGCTCTGTTCAGAGCTGGACAACCTGACCCAAGATAGCCCTCAGGCTAGAGTGAAGCTCACTCCTTGTCCCCAAGGACGCCTGCAGACACTTCACACAGGGCTGAGCAGTRGGTCCTCCCTCTGCCTGTTCACCAAGCACTTGTTAGCAACACCTCCTGGCCCTGTTCGAGGGCAGAAGCCTGAAGCCAGGAGGATGGGCTGATGCAGGATCTGCCAGGTGGCACTTGGCTACAGAGAGGCCATTTCCTTACCATCTCACMCTCTGAAGTTGAAACGGCCCCAAACACAGGCTCCAGAAGCCCTTATTTCCTGGTGCCCCTAGTATCTACCTGTAGGAGTGTTCTCTCGGCACAAGCACATGAATGAATGGGGACTCGCAGCAAGAGGGGAGCTATGTGGGTGCTGCACTGAGAAGTCTCTGAAAGTTAACCAGCCTCCAGGCATCTGACAGTTTGTCTTGGGAATGGCMCAGGGGTGGCACAGCTAACTGGCCAATTTTCCAGGATTAATAATCCTCTAGAGCATGAAATGCCTGGTATTTACCAGAGACCAGCATCCTGGTGTTATGACACCCATGGGACACCTCCCGCAGCCCCCACCCACCACATCCTGGCCCAGGCTCCCCGATGTTCACAGGGAGTCTCTGAAGCAGCCAGAGAACACCCCAGGGTCCTGGTTTGGGTGAATCTTGCCCTGCCCTGGGGCTGTTGGGACCAGCCCGCAATTCCTGCCTGGAAAGGTTCTAGCAAGAAGGAGCTCAGGCTCAGGCCCTGACAGGCTCCGGGTGACTGTCCCTGGGTCCTCGCCTCCCCTCCCTCCATCAATCATGAGATGCCAGCCTCATTTCACAACGTGCTCCTCAGGAAGTGGACGCAGGAGACCACAAGCAAAGTGCAAGCAGCTGAGAAAAAGGAACTCTCTTGAGAAATGGTTTCATCTGGGCTCCGGCAGGCAGCACTGAGTCACAGGAGGGACACCCACGGAAGGAGGCCCAGAGGAGGATCAGAGAGCAGGGCCAAGCCCTGGGCAACAGCACGTGGGGGACTCGGGGGTGGGGGTCCTCCAGCCACAGCTTCTGCACTGGGCCTGTGCTTCCTGTTTGGAGAAGCAGCCCTGGGAAGACTGCCTGAGTGGGTGGCCAGTCACAGGGGTCCCGGGCCCGGGGAAGGGTGACCTGCTGGTCCACAGTGTGGAGGCTCCTCCACAGCTGCCCAGGGAAGGAAAGGCAGCATTCTGGGCCCTGCTTCCTTCCCTTCCGTCATTCTTTCCGTGAGTGACAGAGGATGAGGAGGCAGAGTCACTGTGAGAAGGCGTGGTACTGCCCAGCCCTGTCCCTCAAAACCTGAACAGAAACCACCACGCCATTCCCACCAACCCGAAGGCCGGAATCCGTGACTAAGGCTTTTTCCTGTGCGTTTCAGGTGGAAACCCTTAGGAAGGCTTCCGCCCTGGCTGCGCCCCCAGGACCCACCATTTGGCCTGAAAGCTCAGTTCCCCCCGAGTCCTCAGCATGCCCAGGTGCCCTTGGGGCCTGGCCATCACCTGCCGTGCAGGAGAGGCCTGGGCAGGGGCTGGCAGGACAGACGTTCCCCCCATGCAGGCCCTTCACGCTGGACATGCTGGGACACGCTCTGCCCACGGGGTTGCTCCACTGAAGAAGCCTCCTTCGGGCTCTGGGTCCTTCTTCCATTTGGAGAACAAGCTCACTACCCACACCAGGTCCTGCCTGGGCCACAGGCCTCCAGGGGCTCCGCGGCCCTCCTGGCCCTCCGTGGCCCTCTGCAGCCCTGCTCCAGCCTGATCCTGGCATCTGGGAGGGAGCCCATCTGTCGGGGGACACTGAGGAAGACTTGTTGCATTCGGCGTGAGGCAGCTCAGCCGTCCTTTGTGGCTGTTCCTGGTGGCTGGGGTCCCCTTCCTCCCTCCCACGTGCATCTCTCATCTGCAGGACAAGTAGGCGACGGTGCTTCCCGGGTCTGAGGCCTTCCACATCCACACCCCACACATACGGGTCTCGATTCTGGAATCCACTGCTCCCTGTGGGGAGACAGCCCTCGGCCAGTGCTGGGTTGACACCTGGGCCGGTTGTTTGTGTGTAGAGCAGGGGGGCGAGGGCCCAGGAGCATGGTGAATTTATTTTAAGATGAAAGTGCTGTAAGTCCCTGAGTGCTTTTCCCTGCACTGCTGGCTAGAAGGGACRGWCRTGGCAAAGGATGGGGAGGGACAGGMACTAAGCCCKAGGTGGGGACTCACCTCTTTTCTTTCTTTCAGGTTGGTCAACATGACGATGGTGGCAGACTTCTGCTCCCAGACCATTCTCCAGAAGTCGTTCACAGTCTCCTGTTTAGGGCCTGAGCCCRGAGGACAGGTCCAGAGTCAAGGGCATGAGCAGAAGCCCCTGGGCCCCAGCCTGGCTCCTGCTGGCCTGCACCACTGCACTGTCCTTCCTGGGCACAGCACAGCTGGTTGGGCATTTCAGACCCTGAGATGCCAGARCCAGTGACGGCCATCCCTGCCTGTCCTGCATCAGGACACCCAGGACACCCAAGTGAATGCCGGCTGCGTTTGGATTCTTACATTAATGGGCATTAAAGGGGTATTCAGAGGAGGGTTGGGTCTAATGCTACCCTTCAAAGTGACCTGTTCATTTCTCAGAATAGCAGGCCCCTCCAGAACTTCTGATTCATAAAAGACGTGTGTGTGTGTGTGTGTGTGTGTGTGTGTGTGTGTGTGTGGTGTGAAAGGGGGGGAGATTGCAGGTTGATGACTCACCTTCCACTTCTCACCCCCCCCCCCCTTTGGTCAAGATCTCAATCTCTTAGCATAAAACTGTCCAATAAGATGTGAACAAAATTTAGTGTGTCTCTAGAAGAAAGTCTCCTGCCCTTTGTCCACTTCCTGTCCACTAAAGACACAGTGCCTGGAGGCGCACCAGCCATTTTGTGACCTTGAGGCTGGGAGCAACAGGAGAAGGAGGGCAGGGCAGAAAGATAAAGCAGCCCCTCCCTTGAGCTGTTGTCCCAGCCTTGGGCTGCCTCCCCCAGATGCCTGCTCATAGGAGAGGAAAACATGCTTTTATCTCTTTTTAGCCAATGTTTGTCAGGCCTCCTGACACTTTSGGCTAGACATAGCTCTGATCCTCTGTGCGGGAATGTGGGTGGGTTCCTGTTTCCCAGGGAATCTGGGTTATGACAAGCTTTCCAGGTTATTGTCATAAACTGTGAGTCTTGGGACCCACCTATAGACTCTTGGCCCAAGAGGAGGCAGTCAGGGAACTCTCGTTAGCTCCCCTGATACCCACTGCGTGCAGCAGGGGCGCCTGCAGAGTCAGCATCTGCTGGAGGGGGGGGGGGAGCTGGGCCAAAGGGCTCAAGTGCAAGACAGTGTTCAAGGCCGAAAGCGTGATTTTATGGCCGAGTCCTCCTGGCGGGGGCCTTCATCTAAGAGGCAACCCAGCCCCCGGCCCCCAGCCTTGGAGCTACAAGGAGACCAGGGAGAGAAAGTGAAGGGGTCCAGCCCACCAAATGTGCCGGAAGAGCAGCAGTGGGCTGCTGTGGGTTGTGTGCAGATGGTGCAGGTGTGGAATAGACCGTGTGTCTGTCTACACGCACCCACGGTGTGCACGGACATTGGACATGCCTGCTAACCACAGCAGCACACACCACACACACACACACACACGCACACAGAAAAATCCAATATCGATGACTGGTATCTTTGGCAGGTAGATAGTCACATGATTTTACCTAAATAATGCTCAGAAGTTAATTTAGTAAAAAGCTTACCTTGAGCTGCTATGAATTTATTCTTCTCTTTGTAGCCCTAGAAAAATAAAATCAGATTTTTAATTATTCAGAATGATCTGATGAAAAGATCTTAGTGTCATCAGAAAGGGAATCCGTGTCACCACAGAGGTTGTGACAGATAAAAGTGAGGAGAGAAAACTCACTAGCAATTTCAGAAATGGCAAAAGCTCTTCTCCTGGGTCCCTTCCATGGTGTTTTCTTCCTGCCAACTTCCCCAGACACACATGCACATAAGCAGGACCTTGGACATTTATATTTTAAAAATTGGGGCAAAATTTACAAATCCTTTTGGGTCCTTGTATTTTAAATGTGAATTTTATAATTTAYATTAGTGATCTTTTAGAGATCAATTTAAACAAATTTTAATMATTGATTGTATATGGTTTTACCATAATTTATTTAACCAGTCATCACTGAACCAGCTGGTTCTCGTGTCATGGGATCAACACGGCTGTCATGTRGTTATCTCTGTTACAGTCTGGTGTGACCTCCATGTTCTGACTTCTAGACAGCAGGTTCCTGGGTGCTGGTGGCTCTGTGCCCTTGGTGCTCTGTGTGGCCAAGTGCCCAGAAAGGCCATAGAAGAAAATGCCCCTGTCATGACTCAGACTCAGTCCAAGTGCCTGTGGGCGCTGGTTCCCCGGCCAGGGGATGCAAAGCCGCGTGACTTACGTCTATGTAGGAGGCGTTGATGTAGTCCGAGCCGGGGATTCCGTCCACTTGGCTCAAAATTACCCTGGAGTGGTCATCTGGAAAAACCAGACAAACCCGTGTTGTCAGGGGAGGAACCTGCACTTCCTTCACCTGAAGTGTTAGCACCAGCAAGGACCCGACTGGGCGGCCCCCAGCAGTGCTGGGCAGCACAGGCACGTTCTTCAGCTGCCGTGGGGCTGCGGGCGCCCTGAGGCTGCAAGGGTACCTACTCTGGGCCACCTTGATTCCCACAGCTGTGGGATGACAGCAGTGGGACGTCAGTGTCGCGTCAGGACTGCTGGGTGAACATGTACACAGGCATGACAGAGCACGCTGGGGCCCCTGCCAGCAGATGACTGGGCACTGTGGGCCCAGTATTCACAAGTGTGGAGTACACAGGAGAACCTCAGGACAGGACTTGGGTCCACCTTCGCAGGCTCTCCAGGGTACCTGGAAGCTGGGAGCTGGGTGTGGGGTTCGGGACCTTGAGCCCCACCCCCATCCCTGGCCGTCTGCAAGGGGCTGGAAGCAAGCAGGGCTCACGCAAGCCCAGCCCGGCCTGAGCTGGAGTCCAGCCTGCTGGGGTGGGCTTTCCAGAGTGGGAGTGGACGGGGTGCTGTCTGTGTGTACATGCATGTGTGTGTGTGTGCGCTATGTGCATGCTTGTGGAGGGGTGTGTTTGTGGTGTCTCCTGTGGTGTGTGTGTGTGTGTGTGTGTGGTGTGCAATATGCTGGGATGTCAGTGTGAGCTGAGTGTGTCATGTGCGGCCCATGTATACATGTGTGGTGTGTTTGTGGCATACTCTGTGTGTTGTGTGTGAATGTGTTGCATGTGTGTGCTCTATATGTGTGCTCTATTGTGTGTGCTCTGGTGTGACTGTGGTGTTGTGCGCTCACTGGGGAGGCTACAGCCTTTGTGGGCCCCGTGACTTCTGCCTTCTTGGGCCTTTGGTTCAGAAAAAAGTGAAAGCTGTCCTCCTTCCACTGTGTGAGAAGTCACTGAGCAGGCAGCTGCGACCGAAGCTGGACTCTGCAGCGTGTCTGAGTCTCAAGGAACAGGGCCATCTCCATGGCCCTGGAGGTGCCACCCAGCCTGGGACCCAGCCCACGTCCATCCGAGTGTCCGGGCTCAGGCGCGGTGAGTGGGTGACACTGCCGCTGCTCCCTTTCATCCTCCTCCTGGGGCCGTGGTGGCTGTGGTGCTGGAGCACGGCCCCGTCTCACGTCACATGCTGGGGTCTGAACTCACAGACCAAGTCTGTCCACTTGGCCAGTGCTAGTGGCCCTGACCCCTGTGCCTGGGCGGCATTGGGGGGCCAGATCTGCCCTGCTGCTGGCAGAGGGAGTCATGAAGCCCCAGGGACAGTCACAGTGACACGCAGGCAGGGCGTTCAAGCCCAAGCCCACAGCCATGCCGACCTCACCCCCTCGCTCCTGCCCAGCCTGACAGCCCAGCGGAAGCAGCGCTGGCAGAGCACGTGCAGGGCTGGCTCAAAATACCGTGATGACTTACACTGGAGGACGGTTATAGACCAGCAGAGGGAAAATAGCCTCTGGTTAGATTTAGCATCTTGCAGTTCTATGAGCTTCCTGTTTTTTATTCTAAAAAGTCACACTTCACTTTCAAAACATTATTTCTAAAAATCATCAGCCTTTGGCATTTATTCCAGAAAAAGAGACCCCTGGAGCCTTTCAGCCGGTGCAAGTCCCGTCCCCCCAGGAAGACCTTGACCTCAGCTCCTGGGCTTGCAGAAGGTGCAGGAGCTTCAGGGGCACCTTTCAACCTGGTATGAGCTGCCCCAGGCTTGGGAAGGAGAGGAAAGGCAGGGTCTCCCCTCCCCTCCCCCACCAACCTTTGCTCCCACCCTGGGTGAGAAGGGGCCTCACAGCTTGGCCCTGGCAGCAGCCCTGAGAGCCCTCTGTTGTCCCAAGACCCAGCCACTATCCTGGCACCAGCAGGGCTCTCAGGGGCACCTCTCTCTCAGCTGAATGCCACCTAGTTGGTTCATGCCAGGGACAATGTCTCCAGCCACCCTTCCTGAATCCTACCTCCCACCACCCGTGTGAAACACAGAACTCCCTGCAGCACCCCTGGCCCTGGAGGGCTGCCAGCACCCAGCAGTTCCTGCGGAGGGGCCTCCCGGGCAGGGTGGGGTGGGGAGGACCCCCGGGAAGCTCAGCCACCTGGCCAGCACCTGCTGCCCTTCCTTGCCTGGAGGAAGGCTGCTTCCTTTCACAGTGCAAGCTGCTGGGAGACCAGCAGGAGAGGCCCTGCCCAGTCCAGGCAGGACTCCCAGGGGAAGGGCGTGCCCATGGCCAGAGTGGAGGAGATTCCCTTCCCACCGACTCTGGTCCACCAAGATCCCCAGGAATACCCTGAATTAACAATGTAGGTGTGCTTTAAGCAGCAAGGGTTCAGTGATTAAGAGAGAGGACAAGAGTCCTCACACAAGAGAGGCCCCTGGGAAGGTGCTTGGTGCTGACTAGGTCCTTCACCCACATGAGCAATGCAGCGTCAGTTGAGCTGGTGGACCAAGGTGACTAAATGAGAAACGGATACTCATCTTGACCACCCTGACTTCTATTGGACATGTATCACTCTTTAGAGCCCGACTCCTCCTCTGGTGGTCATGCCTTCCTTCAAACTGTGGAGCCACGCAAGTGCCCCCCCCCCACCCCCGCCTTGGATTCCTTCAGTTCTTCCAGCAGCAGGCCCTCTGACTTGGTCTCACTCTGTGCCCAGAATCTGACCCTGGACCCAGCCCCCCTCACAGCTCAGCTCCTGACCTGGGTCTCCCCAGGCTGCCCCTACAATGAAAGACTACTTGATGGCCTAGTTTTAGTTGTGTCGTGGGCTCACACAGGGCTCTGTCAAACCACCTATGAACCCCAGGCATGTAAAATGGGTAAGGATAATTCTAGAAACGCGGGAGACCAGTCACCACAGAAAGGACAGACCACAGAGCTCATACACACAGAGTAGATGCCATTCTACCCTGAAACGGCATCTAGGAGCAACAGGAAGCCCACCATCCTGAGTTCCCCGACCCCATGGGGCACTGCCCAGGAGCGTGGTCTGTGGGCCATGAGGAGGGCGGGGCTCGGGATTCAAGCTGCATTTGGTGGAGTCCTTGCGGACTGCTGCTCCATTGGCCCGGCAGGAGGGGTCCAGACTAGGTGCAGGCTGTCACTACCAGCCTTGCAAAGGCTGCTGGGAACCTGAGGGTTTGGGCTGGCACGGCCTAGACAGCTGCAGCAGATCATGAGAAGCCCTGTGCTGAGCTGTCGCACCCAGCTCTGACACTGTCCCTGGTCCACAGCCACCGTTAGCTCTTGGGTGAAAATTGGATTCTAAGCCTTCCCACCAAGATGCCAGACCCCGATAGGTTTCTTATTCTGTTACTTCTGTCCTCGGTCCAGGACCCTACAGAATGCTGGGGATTTTATGCTTGTGGCCAAGAGCACTGAGTCTGAGGGAGAGGAGCTGTCCAGGGCACCAGCAGGCCTAGAGGGGGCCTAGGACTGATTCTGATAGGAGGGGCTCTGCCTGGTGATGCCCAAGACCAGGCAGCAGCACCCCTGCCCTGCCTGTCCCCGGGCATCCAGGCCTGAACAATGAACACAGGCTTAGCACCAGATCCCCGAGCAGTAATGGGGCCCAAGCCTCCTGCAGGGAGACAGACCCAGAGAGGAGAGCTGCACTGCTCCTGGTGTGAGTGGGGGTGTCTACTGCTGAGCAGCAGGATGCTGTGTTTGCTGGACAGACACAGCCACTGGGAGCTATAAGAGAACGCCAAGTTTAGCCTAGATGGCACCAACCATGCAAAATAAGTAAAATCTTACTGGGAAGGATGTTGGGATATCTGTTTTTCTCTCTGTTTTCTTCTTTATTTGCCAGTTCGAACGTCCCTTGTATGTGTCCAGATGGCAACGACTGGAAGAAAATGCAGAGTTGGAGCTAAATATGATGAATCCACCTCTGTCCCCCAGAGCTTCCCTGCCAGGCACAGGAATCAAAGGCACCTCAAGCCATCCTCCTCTGCCCATCATCCATCTCCGCTTCAGACCCTGTATGGGCACAGCCCAGTCGTCCTCCCCAAGGAGGGATGGAGTGACCAGGAGGGAGAGCAAGGAGGGCTGAGAAGGGATGCCGTGACTCAGGGGCAGGGCTGAGAGGAGTAAAATGACCCAGGGAAGTGGAGAGGGAGGCGACCACAGACACAGCCCTGGCTTTGCTCAGGACTCAAGGGGTCTCTGTGGACCAGTGAGGTCACGGCTGGGAGCTTGTTCCAAGGCGACTCTTCAGCCCTTCCTACCCAGACCCAGTGAGCCAGCTCCTATTCTCTAAGTTCCCCAGTGACCTGGTTCAGGGCCCACTGGGGTTTGGGACACACCCCTTCACAAGGCCTTGGTCCCAGATGAGGAGGGGGTGTGAAATGAGGACCAGGATGCTAAATCCGATGACAGCATGGCAGGTGTGTATGCAGGCCTCTGAGCCCCTAGTTCCTACTCCCCGGAGCCACCACTTCTGGTTCTGGGCTGTCTCCAGCTGTGCTGTTTGCTCACTGTTGGGACACATCCCACGTGCAGGGGCGCCCCTCCTGGTGCACAGTGTGAAAGAGCATGCTGAACCCCGAGTCACGGCCTCAACACCAACCTGCCCACTGGCTGGATCTGGACTCTACCGAGTGCTTAGGAGGTGCTGGCACCATGGGGAGCTGGGCCATCCTCCCTGTCTGTCACAGCTCCCCTATTATCAGGTGACTAGGATCGCCCCTGTGGTAGGGACCAGGTCTGAAATTCAAGGCAATGTGGTTGTGGCTGTGTCCAGGGTCACCAGGCCAGCATGGGCTCGACCCAGGAGCCTGGGGCCGGCTCGCAGTGCAGCCTCAGGTTAAAGCCACGCTGCCCTGGGCTTGCTCACACTTTGGATCAAGGCCTGAGCCCCCTCCTCTCAGGTAGATGCTTCTCCAGTGCAGACTCTCTTATCCCTGGCAAGTGCTCCCATCAGCCACCTTTCCTCTACTTTGGGGCTGCTATACCCTGTAGACACAGGCAGAAGCTCCTCCTGGGGCAGCGTGGAGGGTCCAGCACGGTGGGCACCTCAGCAGGGCCAGCAGCAATTCTCAGCCTTACCCCAGCCTCCGACCCCTGTCCCTTGAGTGCCTCATTCTTGGTCAGGGCTGTCTGAATACTCCCTCCTTGGCCTTACCTAGATGTTGGGTTTGTGATGACACTTTCAGGTCTTCTCTTTCTCTACCCTCAAAAGCTGTTTTGCCCCTAGCGCTGGACATAAAATCCAGGCGAGAAGCTGGAACCCAGGCACGTGGTGCAAAGTACTTGGCAAGATGACAGAAGGAGCAGACAAGCACTCTGGCCTTCAGGTGGCAACAATGTGTCAGTTGTAACAGGCTGGGACAAGAGCGGGCAGCAGAGGAAGCTGCTCTCTGGGCAGAGGCGGGAGCTCGGAGCTCTGCAGCTCGGGCGCTACTCTTCTGTAAGCTTAAAACCGCTCACCAAACAAAGTCTACTAAAAATAATAAATTGACAAAAAAAAAATAGAGAAGCCTCCCTCTTCCTTGTCAGGCAAGTGGCTGTGGTGTGGTGGCCAGAGGGGTTTGGTGGGGAGGATGGACCCAGTAGCTGCCCAAGATTTGAAACCTGGAGATGGGGCTGTGCGACCTCAGCCAGCCTGTGACAACTTGGCTCACAGCTGGGGGCGGGGGGGGGGGGGGCTGCCCAAAGGCAGGGCTGGGAGCTGAGGGGCATTTGCCCTGGGCACACATTTTAAAGGGGCACCCCCAAAAAACTTAGGAATCAGAGAGAGAACAAATATTTTGAAAAATCCAGGGCAGGGGGCAGAGCTCAGTGGTAGAGGGCCTGCCTAGCATGCAGGAGGCCCTGGGTTCAATTCTAGCACCAGAAAGAAAAGAAAAAAAAAAAAATCCAACCCGATGTACAAAATCCACAGTGACCAGAATAACAGACTTAATTAATGATAGAATCAGCAACTGTGTATTTACTGGAGTCTGGGACAATAAGAAAAGATCTGTCCCCACTGGTCCTCTCCTTGTCTATAATGGTGCTGTTCTGTTCATCATAAATCTCTTGTATTAATTTCAGTAATTTTAAGTGATGCATCAAAACACGACTTAGCCTGACTATTGAGATTTTAGGTGTGTTCTCAGACTTCGCACCCAGGGCAAGAGCCTCTCTGGCCCCACCCTGGCCCCTCCAGGCGTGGCCCTCCCTCCCTTTTGTGATGGTGCCAGAGCTAATGGTTCTGACTCATGGCCCTCCACCAGGGAGCCAGCCACCAGCCTCCTGCACAAGGAGAAACCAAAGTGGAAGGAGAAATGGGACAAGAGAGGGGGAGGAGAGAGTCTAGCTGCAAACATGGAGAGTTATTTTGAAAATGGAGAATTAACTTCTCTTGTCAAGCTGAGAGATTGCAAAACAATAGTGCTTGGAGCTGTCTTTCAATATGACCTAATTTCTCAAGGAAAAAAAAAAAAAGAAAGACAAAGGGGGGAAGGGTACATTTGAAAATAATAAAAAGGAAGCAAGATCAAGGCAGAGGAGGTTTGTGCTAAAAAATTAGTAGAGTTCAAATTCGCCATCACYTTTCTGTATAAAAAGTCACTGGTCTGCAGCAGTGTGCGCGCCAGCTCTGGATACAACAACTGGGCCACATGGGGCTGTTCATGAAGCCCATCGTCCCAGCCCGACATTTGAGCTGGAGGTTGCCGAGGCAGGATCCATCCCTGTGCCCCCTTCATAGATGGTGGAAGCCGGCTTGGAGGAGGTGAAGGATGTGCCAAGGCCAGGGTGCAATGGCTGGGCCAGAGGCGGGCGGCAGTCCCACTGGCTCAGCACTGACCCTTTCAGGCTCAGCACTCGTCATACAGCCATGCACACGAAGCTGAGGATGCTCACGGCAGAACTCAAAACGCAGGCAGGACAGTGAGGGGCCGTGTCTAAGGCAGCACTGCCTGAGTGTGCGTCTGCACCTGTCTGTCTGTCTATCTGGATATGTGCAGCAAATTCAAAACTCACAGCACATTAAATTGTAAAAGTCAACGGCACTTGGGAAGGCATCGTTAAGTCTAGATTTATGTTTTCTGGTGGAGAGTTAATTAGTTTGCCCCCTTGGGGACTGTACCAGTTGGTTGGCCCATGGTCCTGGCGAGCCGTGGCCTCACTGCGTTTGTGGAGACCGTTCATCCCAAACAGCAGGAGCAGGTGAAAACCGCAGGACTCTCTGCACCTCACATGCAGCACAGCCATCAACAGGCTGAGCTAGTGTCTCCTAAAGGCAGTYTCTGGGACGGCTTGGTCAGTGCTGGGTGGGGACTCAGAAGAGGGACATTCTCCACTCCAATCAGAAACTGTGATGGGATGGCTGGGGGCTCCCTGCTTTCAGCATGAAACCACTGTCCTGTGAGGGCTCGTTTGCCACAGTGTGGAAATAATGGTGTTTTTGTCTCACCCATTTCAGAACATGGCTTCCTGAGCCTCAGACCCAACCATAGCACCTTATAATGGGCAATGAGTGCCAAGGAGGGGAGCTGCCCCAGGGACCAGGTTCCCAGACCCTCCGCCCCAGGACTGTGTTCTGACTGACCCTGCCAGGTCACTAGTCCTCGGGGATGGGCCCTGGGCACTCCCCACCACCTGACAGGGCAGCAGGGACCTCCGCACTCACCGTGAACTCCTCCCGGAACCGCTTGAAGTCGTCTGCCGAGCGCAGGCGGATCTCCTCCTCCAGGTGCTCCAAGGGGATGGGAAAGTACTTCTTGGGCCCTGAGGGGGACCTGCTCAGTAGCATCACTCTCTGCTGTTCTGTGGGTCAGAAGGAACAGGGGCCACTTAGCCCCATTCCCAGGGCTGACTCATTGGCCAGATCTAATGACAACATTCCCAAAGAAGTGCACAGCTGGAGGGGAACCGAGGCTCACCAGGGCCCCGAGCAGCTGAATCAAACATCTGCCTCCTGATATGAGTCCTCTGCTAGTGATGGCAGCATCCCTGATCTTACTGTCCATGGACATCATGGACAGTGTGTCTCCCACCCACTCGCCCCCCTCACTCCCCAGCTGCCATGGCCTGTCCTTCCCTCCAGCCCTGCTCCTCCCCAGATGGCCAGAGCAGCTTCATTCTGCAGCTTGGGTTTCCAGGTTTGGAACTAGAGAGAGCAATTATAGGGTCCGGAGCAAGCTCGAGGGGACTGGAAATCCACTAGGGTATGCACCTCTTTTGGCTTTCTCCTTTTTGTAACAAATAGGCCTGCTCCCCCAGATCCGTAAGCTCCAAATAAGAGAAGCTGTCCTTGTCTAAGGAGGAGGGCAGTGTGGCATTGCAAAGGAAAAGGGAGAGCTGCAAGGGGTACTGCGCAGGACGCTTCCCCAAGCTCAGAGTGAGACACAAGAAGTCAGGGGCCTGCACTTCTCCTCCTGGGATGAGCTGAAATCAACCAGGTTCATGGGGAAACTGGACTGCCACCCTTGAAAAAGGCCTGTCCCACAGGCAGAGCCTTCTGAGGTCACCTTGAATCTCCCCACAGGGTCCCTTCCCCAAGAGACAAACAGGTTCTCATGTGTGCCCCTGGGCTTCTCTGCCCCTCACCAGCCACACCCTCTTCCTCCCAAGCCTGTTGGAATGTGCGGGGTGGGATCGAGGGTGGGAGGATGGCGCTGGGGACCAAATTATCATCTACCAAGTGTCAGGGGGGCCGGAAGGCCCTCCAGAGCCCTGTCTGGCCAGGTCTTCTGTTGCTGATACTCTTATCTCTGCTTTGTGTGTGTGTTTCCTCAAGCCCCAGCACAGCTGGTAGGAAGCGGAGGACAGGAAGTCGTCGTAGTCACTGCTGTGCACCAGTATTTTGTAAAGCCTCAGCTTTATCTTTCTCAGTCAACTCAATGTGTTGAAAGAAAAAATAAAATAAATAAAAGCCTCGGTAAGTAGCATTTACCAGTTAGAAACTGAACTTTGAATCTAAAGGTTGGGAGTGTCCCAACACCTCTGAGCGATTTCCTTCTCTTCAGCCAGACCCTAAGATAGTGCGATTTTCAGTTTGAGCACTTTAGATTGTGAGCCAGAGGCTCTTATCAGAGTGATGTGAAAGGCCTTATTGAAAAACGTTACATGCCCAAACCCTGTGCAAAGGACAGGATATGAGCAGTCTCTCCGGAAAAGCCACAAACTGAAACACCTCAGACATCTGTTCCACACGGGAGGGAAGGCAACTTCAATACAGTCTAGAAACAGAGACGTTCCGCAGTCGTTAGTAAGGCAGAAAAGGACAGCACAGCACCAGGTAGGGGACGAGAGTCTCAAAGCTGGAGGGACTTAAGACCAACTTTCATCATAAAGGAAAAGACAAACACAAAGAGAGGGACCCCCAGGCCTGCTAGAGACCCCACAGGGGAGCCAGCACCCGTACCTTGCTCCTCCAGGATCCCGTTGGGCATCTTCTTGTCACTGCTGCTGACCACGGCTTTCCTCTGCTTTCTGAACCTGGGAGGCACAAGATGGGTCAGTCCTCCGTGCGCCTAGGCTGGCCAGGGAGCCTGGGGCCCGGGGCCCAGGGATACCCACCAGGTGAGCCGGGAAAAGCTCTTCCTGCTGCTCATGGCTGAGCCTGCTGGGGCCAGGCCCGCTGCTCATCTCAGTGGCCGGGGCCCACACCCTGCAGCCTCAAGAAGGCTCATTTCCTCATCCGAGCTGGTCGGGGCAAGTCAGCGCCCGGGGACACTCCTACCTGAAGAAGTAGGCGGTGAGGAGGAGCAAGAGGAGGAACAGCAGCAGGGGCAGCAGCAGCCAGGTGAGCAGCGACTGGGAGGTGCCAGGGTCTGGAGGGCCTGCGAGTGGCGGGAGGAGAGCCCTGTCAGGACCCCAGGCCAGGCAAGGAAGGATTCCCACAGCACGCTGCCCATGACAGTCGGCAGAGGGTCCCCCTCGCAGCCCTCCTGACACCAGGACGGCACTTGTCGTCTGCAGGCCGGTTCCACTCTCTGCCCGCGGTGTCCACAGAGAAGTGGCCATGTAACGAACAAGGGACTTGAGCTGTTGCTGTGGACACTAGGGAACCAGGCCTGAGGAGTGAGTGGGTGATGCCACTTGTCCAGGCCCCTGGGGAAGGTTTGGGGGAGAGTTCACGGGCCACATGGCTCACGCTGGCCGAGCTGCCTGTTTCTCTGAGTCTCCAGGGTGCCTGCCCAGGGACGAGGAGCTGGAGATGGCAGCGGGTGGCTGCTGCTGCTGGATGTCAGGACACCTTGGAGCTTGCCTTGCTGCTAGGTGTCCAGGCCTCTTGGCTGGGGCAGGGGCCCCAGGCACAGGCCAGTCGCCTGGCCCTGGGGCTGGGTGCAGACCTCATGGACAGGCACACCAGGACCCACTATCCAGAGCTGCCAGCACCCTATTTCTCAAGGACATGTCAGGACCATGTGGGAGACTGGCCACCAGGCACCACCCTTCCCTCATTGTCCACGTTTCACACCTGCCACACTGACTGTCCTCAACCAGAGACAGGCACACACCCCTGCACCCAGCTCCATGACCTAGTGGCTGCTAGCACTTGCTCCTGCCTTGTGTGTCTGAATTCTGATGGGCATTGGTGGCTTTATTGTCCCTCACTCCCCAGTTTTCCATGCTGCCCCTTATCAAAGGTCCCAGTCCAAGGACAACCTCAGAGGGCCCCCTCCTCCAGGAAGCCCTCTTAGCTCCTCTCCTTTGGATTTAGAGGGACTCTGTGTGGCCAGAGGCATGGGCCACACTCTGCTAGGAGCGAGCAGACACATCCACGGAGGGGAAGAAACCAGCTGGACTTCTGCACATGTTCTGCAGGCCACAACCGGCCAGAGGCTTCTTCTGGTCAGGTTTGCCCAGGCTGAGTGCTGGGGAATGACCATCCTGCTCCCTCCCTTCCAATCTAAACTATCCCACCTCCTACCACAGAGCTTCCCTCTCAGCAGCCTGGCCCGCGGCTGTCACCTGCAGCTCAGAGAGCACCAGCATCCCTGCCAAGCCTGGGAGCAACCCCAGTCCACGCTGAGCGAGCCTCCTGCCACGGAGGGTCAGAGCTGAGGCTGCTCCATGGAGGGCCTGGGTGYTCCAGGTATTTCCGAGAGCCTTTCCACCTCTTCCTTCTGGGCCCAAGGCAGCCAGGCAGTTAGGAGGGTGGTAGGTCCCCTCCTGGCTCCCGGGGGCACATGCTCTCCTCTCCTGGGGCATCACTATGGTGAAACCCCCAGCTTCCGCATCACGCAGAGGTCAGGCCCTGGCCCACTTCTCCAAGGTGGTGACTAAACTGGCTGTAGGGTCTGCTGGGTCAGGGGAAGGGAGCACCGGGGCCTTGCCAGGTCACCCTGTGCCTTGTCTGGGGACTCCAGCCTCCTGGAGTTACAGGCTGCAGTGACAGACATGGGGATTCCACAGAGATGGGCTGAACAGGGACAGAAGTGACAGGTCAGAGGGCCAATGGGTCCCCACCCTGGTTTCTGTTATTCATCAGCAGCTGCCTCTGCTGCAGAGGGTGATCAAGATCACAGACCCCAAGGCCTCCTGAGGTCAGAAGGGAACGCCCAAAGTTGGCATTTTGGGGCCAATGGGAAGGTGGTCCCAGACCACTTAATCTCCATCATTCTAAGAATAAATTTATGTAAAGACATTCTAATTTTTAAATATTGGTAATTAAATTGAATTCAAATATTATTTTGAACAACAGCATGGACCAGAAGAGAAAACCCTCTGCACACTGGGTGGCGTCCCTTGAGCACTGGCTGTGCTCCGGGCGCCCAGAGGGAGTTCTGGAGTTCTGTTCTGACCCATGCTGACTTGGCTCCTGCTGGGTGGCAGAGGGTCCAGCTGGGGAGGAGCAGAGCAAGCCTCCCGGGTGCTGAGCAGGGAACAGCCTGTTCCCAGGGCTGGATGGCAGACTCACAAAGCCAGTGTGTGTATCGTCACACCAATTCCCTGCGTGCACGTGCACACCAGCAAGTTGAGAGAGTGCACGCAGCGGGGGCATGTGCTTGTTTGCTTACAAAGAACCTGGAAAGATAGGAAAGTACCACCCGGTGTGCGAGGTGGGACCCTGAACCACTCCCTATGCACCTATCCAGGAGGGAACCTCCTGCTGTGTCAGAGGGGGGGCACTACCCAGATGAAAAAGCCCCCAGCCTCCCCGGCCCAGGGAGCTCTGCGGGAGGCGGTAGTGGGCCAAGCTCTCCACTGCCCCATGCTTCATCTCCAGGGGTCCCTGGGAGAAGGAAGAGTTGGGGTAAAGGGGGAGGAGAGGAAGGAAAGAGGGTGGGGACACAGAGCGAGCAGCTGTGCTCTGGGACTGAGCCAAGGTGACCCAGCGTCGAGGACAGAGTGCCCAGTGTCCCCTCTTCCTTCACCTCTGCCTGGCACACAGGGCGGTTTCTACTATCTACAAGTGAAAACAGGATAGAGGTCTGTTGAAAATGTTCCCACTAGCACAAAAATAAAGAATAAGTGTGCGTGAGTCAACACTTTCTCTTTCCCTTCGTCAATCATAGTTAGGACTGTGGAGTGTGTCTTTCCCAGAATTTTCTCCTATGCATTACATTCATAAATATGCAGGTTTGGTAAATAATGGACTTACTACTCTCATTTCATCCCAAACCTCATGAATTGTAAGAAGTGCTGTTATTCTATGAACCACTAAGGAAGAAAAAGGAGTTACTAATTATAATTGTAAAGAGCTACCCATTTTAAGACACATCCCGATATAGCAATTATACATATGAGAGAACAGATGAAGCACTGTGGGGCAGGTCGGCGCTCGCCTCTCCCATCAGTCTTGGGGAGTTTCCACGGCAGCACGGTGGGGCTCCCGWGCTCTGTGCAAGGGATGCTCCGTTTCCACAATTCAGATGGATCAAGAGTGAGTGCATGGACTCTTTCCAAGAAGTTGTTTCCAACTTCTTTGCATTTCCTTGCAATTCTGCACCTTGTGTGGGTGTAACTTTGTGTATCTCACCAGTGTTTCTGCAGGTAACTCCTAAAATTGGACCTTCTGTGTCCAYTGCACACATGTTAAATTTTAATAGAAATTACCAAATTGCCCTCCCCAAAGKATCCCTGATAAAGCCAGTTTCTCCTGGAGATTAACAATGCTTCTCATTTTGTTAATCTGATAGGCACAATCCTAATGTCATTTTAATTTTCACTTCTCTAATTTCTTTGGAGTTGATCATCGTTTCATGACGAGTGAAACATGGTTAATTAGATCCTTGCGTTTTGCCTGGTCATATCCTTTACTGGTTTCCTACTTGCTCCTCTTGGGGGAGTCGTCCTGTGATATTTTCTTATGTGATCTGAACAATTCACCTTCAATTCCTTGTGTAAAAAATGTGTCATGATGAATACTGATTTCATTTTGTTCAATGAGTTAAAAAAAAAACATTTCCTGTTGTTTTGGCACATTGTGGCAACATGTGAACATCTAAAATGATGCTTCRTACTTCTTCATATTGGGTTTAAAGACTCTCCCACACAGTTGGGGGCCCCTGCAGAGGGCTGGGCCAGAGGAGCTCTCTGCAGCTTGTAACCAGAGCCCTGTGTCACTCTTGCTTGCATGACCAGTGGCCACTGCTACGCAGAGAGGTCCCGGAAGAGGCTGCACCCAGGCGTGAGTTTCACACTAGGTTCTGTTCTGGTGCCAAGGTCATGTGGCAGCCCCCTCTTCCTCAAAGCAACAGCCCGGGCCATGGCAATACCATAAGCCAATACATTTATTTATTTTTCAAATGACTGAGAAGCCCCAAGCAGGGAACGTGGCATCATCTTGCTGGAGACCTCAGGGGTGTCACGGGGCTGAGCAGATTCTGACCTACTCTGGGGAGACAGAGGGATGCTGCGTCTGTAGGCTTCCCAGATGTGTGCAGGTGTGTCCTGGCCATTTGCCAGGTGTTCCTAAGAAGCCAGGTGATTACTGTTGGCAAGAAAAGCTAGGTCTGCAGGCTGAGATGTTTCGCTGAATGTTCTGTAGGTGTTGGGCATGGCCAGGGGGGCTAGCTGCTCTGTCTGTAGAGGGGCTCACTGTCCTTGGGTGGGTCTGGGACCTCCCAGGCTATGGGACCTTGCTAATGACATGCACCTGGAGAGCTGGCTGGCTAAGAGGCCAGTATGTTACATGCAGCTTACATGAGCTGGCAGCTCCGGGGTGTGTGTGGGGGGGCGGGCGGGGGTCAGTGTGAGGTAGAAGACGGGGCCCTTGGAGTTGCTCTCCCAGTCAGGGGCTGGCATCAGCTGCAGATCCACACCTCTTCCCTCTTGTGTCCAGAGGACATTAGTCCAGGTCTGGTCATCAGTGAAAGCCCTTGACTGGGGACTTGAGCCCCTGGCCCACCTCATGCTACTGACTGCTAACTGCTTTTCTAACAGGCTTATATTTATGGAGGGCTGCTGATAATTTTGGTTTTCCTTAAACCTTGCAAGGGCCAAGCATGATGCTTCGTTTTATGTGTCAACTTGCTGGGCCCTGGTTACCAGGCATTTAGACTGACATTTGAACCTGCAGACCGAATGCAGCAGACGGCCCCGTCCAACCAGGGGGAGGTCTGGCCGGACACAGAGGCTGAGCCTCCTGGGGAGAGGACACCTGCGACACCCTTGTGCCTCCAGCCCTTCCTGGCCTCGTGCCAGTCCTCTGGGGCTGTGCTGTGCAGACCTTGGACTGGCTGCCTCGGTGACTGCGAGCCTGTCTGATGATGAGCGATGCATGTCTTCTTACCACACATAGAAGTTATAAATACACAATTTTCAGTTCCTTATAGCGAGTGTGTAGTTCTAGATTTCTGTCTGTATGTGTCCTAAGGTTCTGCTTTCGGGGGGAGCCCTGACACAGCAGGAGACACCGTCAGGGAAGTCACTCATGTTGGGGATGGAGCGGGAAGGCCCAGGAGGTGTGTGAGAGGGACCAGCCTTGACCGTCACCACCAGGGGTTCTGCAGCCACAGGGGCCTAGAAGTCTACCTGGGGCCCACGGAGGCTGCCCAGGGAACTGTGTCAGCCCCTCGGGGAACTGAACTCACCCAATCTGGCCTAGGTCTCCTGTGTCAGCTCAGGAGGGGACTAAAGAATCAAAGTTCCACTGCAGGCAATGAGGCAGGCCAGATGACCCTGCCCCATGCTCCCTGCTGATCACAAAGGCCAGCGTGGATGAGCCCTCTGTGGTCCAGGGAAAGTTCCAGAGCACTGATCTCTAATACTCACTGCACCCTCAATAGCAGGCACTGCCATCACCTCCACCTCCCAAGTGGGGTACTGAGGCACAGAGGGGCTCTGTGATTTACCCCAGGACACCCAGCCAACACCGACAGAGGTGGAGTTCAGAGCCAGGCAGCGTGACTGGAGAGGGTTTGCTCACCTCCCTCCCTGCTTCCTCTCTTCCTCTGCCTCCCGTTAACTTTGCAGGGCTTTTGTTTGTTTCATGGGGGTAACACTTAGATGCCATACAGCACACCCCCTTTAAGTGTCTGAGTCTGTGATGTTTGTTGGATCACGGAGTTGTGTACCTCTCGCCCAATCCAGTTAGCACATGTCCATGCTCCTCATAAGACCTCGCCTGCCTCTGGGTCACTCCCTGCTCCCACCCCAGCCCCCGTGGACATTTCCTCCCCCCGGACACTCCATACCATGGAATCCTACAGCGTGGTCTTTTGGGTTGCTTGGGCTTGTTTCTAAAGGTTCCTCCATGCTATTACGTGTACTCTTTTCTTTCTCTTTGTTTAACTTTTAAACTATAAAGAATGTGGGAGAATAGAAAATAATACTCCACCCTGTGTGAGTGGGGCAGCACCATTTTATTTATTTATTTATTTATTTATTTATTTGTTTGTTTATTTATTTATTTATTTGTTTGTTTGTTTGTTTATTTATTTATTTATTTTGGTACCAGGGATTGAACCCAGGGGTGCTTAACCACTGAGCCTCATCCCCAGTGCTTAACCACTGAGCCCCATCCCAGCCCTTTTTACTTTTTTTTTGAGACAAGGTCTAACTGAGTGGCTTAGGGCCTTGCTAAGTTGCTAAAGCTGGCTTTGAACTTGCAATCCTCCTGCCTCAGCACCCCGGCCCCCCACAGCTGCTGGATCACAGGCGTGCACCACTACACCTGGCTGCACCAAGGAAATTTTAACCCTTCTGCTCTCCTGCCTCCCACTACGGCTGCCACCAGCCCTCAGAGGGGGCTGAGGACCAGCACCTGGGCTAAGCTGGCTGCAGTCAAATGCTGAACAGCAGCTCACCCAGCTGCCTGTTTGTTGGGAGCACACTAAGAAAGCCAGCCACGCCCTTCTCGCCTCTCACCAGCCCTCACCACCCTGGACCACCTGTCATTCCCAGGTGCCCAGGGGTGGCGTGGGGGCCTTGGCAGGCCAGCTAAGAGCGGGGGCTCCTCACCTGCAGTGGTGCTGGTCCAGTTGCTCTCCGCTGTGGTGGTCTCGTTGCTCTTGAGCGCTCTGGTGAGCGGCAAGCTAAAACCTGCCAGCAGGAGTGGACAGAAGGGCTCCATGGTAAACCTGCAAGGACAGGGACAGGCTCAGAGGGCTCACCTGCAGTGTCTCATGGCCAGGATGGGGACGAGCCCCATTTGAGGTTTACCCTGAGCCAAGAACTCTGCCTGCTGCTTTCATTTTATCTTCTCCTCACCCCTCCATGGTGATGTCATCATGTCCACTGGGTTCAGTCGGAGGAGCCACCCCAGGCTCAGGGGTCCAGTGTTGCTGATGGCTGGTAAGGGTGGGGGGACACTGGAGCCCAGATGCCTGCCCATGCCAACACCTCTTGCCGGGACCCACATCTGGACAGCCCACCTGGCATCCTGGGTCCTTGGCCTTCTGGCCCCCACTCTTGCTGACGGCCCTCCCTTCCACTCCCACCTCATGGCACCCAGCAGGGCAGGTGCTTTCCCTCTGCTTCTTGGTACCCCCCACGCTGCCTGGGGGGTCTCCCTCCCTTCAAGGCCCAGCTCAGAGGCCCTGGGCTTGGAAGGCAGCTCACAGGCTGGCTTCGAGGGTCTTCCCTGTTCCTGGCTGTGTCAGCACCCCTGGTCCAGCCCTGGCAGCTCCCACTGGCCCTTGCGTCTGATGTGCTCACTCCCAGGTGAAGCAGAGGCAAGCTCCTGCTCGACAGAGCTGGTGAAGGAAGCCAGGGGTTTGCTGGGTGTCGAGGCGGGCACCTGGCTAAGGGAGCCGAGTGTTCACTGCCGTGTCCAGGTGGGCGCCTGGGGCAGACCCAACCGCAAAGTGCCCCCACACAAGGAAAGGCCCTTACACACGAGGGACACGCAGGTGCAGTCACCTCAGATCCCCGCTGGAGCTCGGTTTTGCCCAGTCACCTGAGAGGATCAGTGGAGCTGGCAGCACCTGTGATGAGCTGTGGCAGGTGGTGGGCGGCAGAAGCTGCCCAGTGAACCTTGGTGCTTACAAGGTAAACGAGGGTTGAGGGGAGGGCTCCTGTCCACTGAGCCCCATCCAGTTAGCCCACTGTCAGCACCTTCCTGTCCGAGGCCTCCCTGGGGGATGCAAAAGGAGCTGGTCTCAGAACCGAGGCCAAGAAACACTCAGGCCGTTGGCACAGTGAACACTAGTGTCCTTAGGGAAGATGCGGAATGAGCGTGGAAACCGAATCTCGTCTCAGCCATCACCACCACTAAGATGAAGCCACATGGGCGCACATTGTACCAGTTAACCCAGGCCAGTAGGACAGTGACAGTCAGCACTTGCCCATCTCTCCTCTTTGATTTCCAAAACACACAGTTTAGGTTTACAAAGTGAGCCACGTACACACAAATGGCGCTTGTCCCCTAAGCCAGTGCCTACACGTGCTGGGCCCCTCACATGGGTACTGTCAGCTCAGTAGACCTCCAGGCCTAAAGAATGGAGGCTCCGAGAGGGGAAGGGGGTGGCCCAGAGTCGGGAGAGGACCATGGTTTGAACCCAGGGCTGGAGATGACAGCCCTCGAGACCACCCAGGCTTCCCTGGGCCTCCCACGACAGGCAGCACTGCACATCTCTTTTAAAATCTGTCACTGCAGGCAGCCATGATACTTGTAATATACTTGAGCAAATTACTGAGTAATCGATTGGGAAGTATTAACTGGCTTAATACAACTCCAGAGATGCAGGATTCCTAGTAGAAACATTTCCCCCATCTCATGCATTAACTTGATAACACTCCTCTCCTGATGCTCGCCTAAGGAGGGCGGACATTCTTGAGAATGAGGAAGGTCATTTCACTCCTCTCTGACATCCAGGTCTGCAGAAACTCAACGGAGCAGCAGGCGAGTTTCCTGGTATGATCAGCAGAGGGCGATAAACTCTGCAGACTTCAAAACCCATCCCACTATCTGGAGTCCCTTTATAGTCCCACTTAGAGTCCAAGACCAATGACTCCGTACCTGTTATCCCTCACCATCCACTCTCGTAGGGCTTATGCAAGCCACCTGGTAAGCACAGGCATAAAACTGTTCAGAAATAGTGTTTGAAATAGGAATTAAATCCATGCTGAAGTTTAAGGATTTGTATTTAAACAACACCTGTTGGGTGCCAAACGATGTGTGAGGGGCATAAAGCATATGTGATCTCCAGAATAGAAGATCAAAATAGTATACTCCTACCAAAGCAGACTTTATTTTTATTTGCCTCAAAAGTTTCCCAGCTATCCATTTGAATAGAAACCAATTTTTTTTTTTTTAATTCTACTCAATGCGTTTCCATACTCTTCGCTGGGCATTGGCTGGGGTCAGGCAGCCTGCTAGGGCTTGGAGGTGCAAAGCTGAATACTGTCTCATCTCTGCCCTCCAGTAGCTCACTGAGCTGTGAGTACAGGGGAAAGGACGGCTCCTGGGTAGCCCCCGGCGATCTGCAGTGGTGCTACAGTGCCAAGGAATGGGGAGAGGGTGGCCAATCAGGTTTCCCCAGAAATGAAGCATAGGTTAGGGGAGAGTGAACATCCAGAGGTGAGTGGACTCCTCACCTGCCATCAAGTGCCTGTCTAGAGCAGAAGGCAGAGAGTACCCCGGCTAGACGAGGCTCTCTCTCCATTCCTGTTCATTCAGGATCTTCCACCAGCAAAAGAGAAAGACACAACATCCCCTTTCAGATGCTCTCAATCTGGGTTCCCTTGAAGTCCCATCTACACGCCAAGAAACATCGCGACTGTGGATATAGCGAGTGCCATCGTACCCATCACAGGACCCCTCCGCCCTTTCCCAACATGCATTTCCCCTTTGCACGAACGCTGCCCGGAGTGTCCTGGTTAGGCAGGAGAGTGAAGGTCCAGAGGGTGGGCTGGACCCCTGAACCTACTGCCAAATGCCCAGAGTGGAAAGTCCTTGGCCTCAACTTGGATGACTGTAGACAGGAACAGATGTGGCCAGGCAGTGACCAGGGCTTCCTTTTCACCTAGGGCTCAGGGCTCTCCTTAATGGGCATTTGTGGGACTCTGGCTAGCAAGGACTGGGTCCTGGGGACTGGGCCTGCCTCCACCCGGGAGGCAGCCTGATGCACAGCCACAGTGAGCACAGACGGAGAGTGGCCTCRGGCCTTGCCACAGAAGTGCAGGCCGGGAAGGACAGTGCCACTTTCTGAAATAATCTGAACTAGCCAAGCCTTCTGGGGCACCGTCCAGGTACCATGATCGCCCCTACCAGCCTTCATCCTGCCTCTTGGAACCTGCTTGGGCAGAAGGCCCTCCTCTGAGCCTTGTCCAGAGACAAGAATCTGCAGCTGGGGGCTCCCTGCTCTCAGTGTCTTTGTCTAGAACCACTGAAACTGTTCTATATGAAATCAGGAAGGTGTGGCTCCAGGACAAGACGATTATTCCTTAACACATTGGGGAAAAACAAAAATGCAGACAAAATGATGCCTTTTCATGGTGAAGAAGCAGCAAAGTCCAGCCAGATCACAMGTTTTAGGTGTGAATATACTTACATGGGTGGAATATTTAAATAATAACAAAACAGTAAAATTCATAGACTGTGTTTCAGATATCTCCACAGTGATTCCCGCCTCTTTAGAGCGGGCTTTGCTTGTTAAAAAGAAAGAGGTGCCAAGGACGGGCTTGTTATCTCTGTGGTGAAGACTGGAACTTAATTGCTTTTGAACAAAGGTAATTGCATTTGTCTAAATGCAAAATCACGGACATATTGTTGAAAGGAGAGTGGCAAAGAAGTCCATGCACCAAGAAGGAAAAAGGAAAAGAAAATAGCTAGAAAGAAAGGAGGATGGGAGGCTTGGTGGTGTCCCAGACCTGGCTGAATGTCACCAAACAAGGGCCTGCACTGGCTTAGGGTGTTCTTCTGGGCCCAGGCAGGGGACTCATCGATAAGCAGGGCTGGCTCCCTGGAGTGAGAGGTTATCCTGTGCCTCTTCCCACACCAGGATGGATGGGGCGAGGACTGGGGCCTGTGGGTTGGAGTGCAGGCAGGTAGGCAGGAGGCAGGAGGCAGGAAGCAGGAAGCAGGAGGCAGGAGGGACTGCTTTGTGCTGGCTAGTTGGGCTCTGGCTTCCTCTCCTCTAACATCCTCTACCTTGCACTGACTGATATGATGGCTGGAGATGGCGAGGTACTTGCCTGCTACACTGGCTTCCTGGAAAGAACTGCGAGGGGTGAGGAGGTGCCACACTTCTGCAGCCTGAGGCCTGTCCAGGGCCGGGCAGTGCAGCCCCACAGCTGCCTTCTGTGCACACAGGCCTGCCTATATGGACTGATGCACTTGTGGCATCTCTGAGGTACATGGAAGGAGTCTCAGGGTTCAGGAAATTGAATTCAGAGCACACTCTTCAAAACTCTGGAGGTACCCACCCTGGTGGTCAGTGGAAGGCTGACAGGGACAGAGATTTGCCTCTTCCCCCCGCCACGCCAGGGTAAATCACCAGGTAAGCCACACTGAGATAATTTCACTGGTGACAGTCTTTGGATCCTCACCTAAACCACATTCCCACTAGAGACCCAGCCATTCACGACTAAGTGAAAAGTGCCCACCTAGGCCAGGTGTGTTCAGAGATGTCTGATGTCTCTGAGAACAGACAGAACACCTTGGGAGAGGGGGTGACCTGGAGCCTGTGGGAGCCAAGGAGGAGTTTTGAGTTTGGGGTGTTGGTGGCGGTGGGGGGATGTGGAGTTGTCAGGCTGGAGGGAGTGCTCAGTGGGGGCAGGGCCAGGCTCCCCCTCTCAGCTGCACTGCAGACTATGAGGGACCCAGGTCAGGGTTCCTCTGGCCCCTGGGGCAGTAGCACTATGGCTCCCCCATGCTTGGCTGGCCACACTGACCTTCCCAAGTGGAGACGGCCACTCCTGGAGTAAAGGGTGGGAGAGCCGAAGGTGGGGACAGAGGAGCAAGGCCTCTCCCCGAAGCCAACAGTAGCAGAATCATCCCCAATTCATGTGGGAATCCGTTAGGTCTGTGCCAATGGCTTCTTAATCCATTTTGGGGCTCTGACATGAACATGGCTAAAGACTCGTGCCCATGTTTGTGTATCACATGCTGACCTTGATTTCATCAGGAATCACACGC